TTGACCCCAGTCTGATCAGAGTTCTTTAATACCGAGTATTAGCCAATACTCCTAATACCAATACTAATACCAAAGAGGGAAAAAGAAATTATATTACCTAAATATGTAGTGAATAAAACATTTATAATAATAATAATAATAATAATAAAGCACCGCTTTATGCCAGAATTACATCCAACTAAGCTTAAATTTAGCCGGGTAGGCAAGAAATACTGCGTGGTGAGACAGACCCCTGGATTGAGAATGCTGAAAAGGTGGTCTGTAATTTAGACTGTAACTTACCAGAACCCCAAACCATCATCCAATCATCAGCGATACACAAATTAGCCAGTTATGAATTTAAATAATTTAGACAGCTTGTGGTGATCATTGTTATTAATTCACCTTTAATTTCACAGTAAATCAACTAGCAAGAAGGAGACCCCCTAAAAAAATCCTGGATGTATTTTATAGAAAAGTACCAATACAATGTGTCTCTTTGCTAGTTGTGGTGTTCAAAGCACTTGCTAACATTGCGAATATTCACATGGGCTCAGAAGGAAAAAATAACAATTAATTAATTGAGACAGACTGAAGTGCAGAGCAGTAGAGACTCAAGAACAAGGAGAAACTAGAAAAAGACCTTAACTCACAACCTTGCGACATGAGTGTGAGTGTGTTACCACTAAACCACCACAGAAGGCTGAGGAATTACTCATGGAAGAGGTAATAAACAAAAGGGAGGGAGCTAAGGCCAAACAAAAGAAACGCAAGAGCAGCGTCTTCACATAAAAAAGTTCTCTGAAAACTAAAATGGAAAGCGGTCAACAGAAAATGACACCTTTTCCAACTTTTCCTCTTTTTCCTTTCTTTCTTTTTTATACTTGCACAAGGAAAACAACCAGGAGAGAACCCAGAGTTCACCAAAAACTCAAGACCCGAGAGAATATTGTTTACCAGCTCAGCAGAGAGACACACACATATCGGCATAAACTCAAGACTGAGCAGTGAGCTGTGGGAGAGCTTTCCTTGAGTAGAGCTTGCACAGCTGCACTTGATCAGCCTCAATCATCTCACCCAGGTTCTCTGGCTCCTCCCAGAGGTTTGGAGGTGGCCTAGCAGGAGGCCGGGACGTTACATTCTTCTCTAAAAGGAAGTGAAAAAAGTACTAGTTTTTAGTTTGTCTGTTTAGTGTGTGTGTGATGTAGTACTTCAGGCCCATAAAGATCTGCTCCGCTACTTCTTTGCTTCTCTGAGGGTGGTGGTGATGAGATTTATTAACTGTGGGGCTCTAGACAAAAGACAGGAATGGCACCCCTGGATGCACGCACACACACACACATACACACACACACTTATTATTTAGACTTAACATTAAGAATTAATCAAAAACAGGACTGCTGGAGTCAGTGAGTGTGATTAGAAATAACTTTATTTTCAGTTTGCTTTGAGAAAACTTATTCTGGTTCTAATTAAATCTTGTTTAATTATCTCCACCCCCTGGTGAGCTCATCTATGGACCCACTTCAGTTCAACCTGGCATTGGAGTGGATGATGTGGTCATCTACCTTCTACACAGAGCTCTTTCTCACCTGGAGAAGCCTGGGAGCACTGTGAGAAACATGTTATTTGATTTCTCCAGTGCTTTTAACACTATACAGCCTAGACTCCTGAGGAACAGGCTGGAGAACACAGAGGTGGATCACCACGTATCGAACTGGATTCTGGACTATCTCACCAACCGACCACAGTATGTGAGGGCACGGGACAGTGTGTCTGACATGGTGTTCAGCGGCACAAGGGCCCCGCAGAGAACAGTCCTGTCACCGTTCCTCTTCACCCTGCATACTGCAGACTTCATGTACAGCTCACCAAACTGCCATCTACTGAAGTTCTCTGATGACTCAGTAATCATTGGACTCATTAAAGATGAGGATGACAGAGAGTACAGAGAACTGACGCAGGACTTTTTGGACTGGTGGACTTTGAGGAACCACCTCCTGATCAGTGCGGGGAAGACCAAAGAGATGGTGGTGGGTTTCCGCAAACGCAGTCACCTCCCTCCACCAGTGAACATCCAGGGAAGGGACATTGAGAGAGTGGTATCTGGGTTTTCACCTTAACAATAGACTGGACTGGTCAGATAACATTAGTGCTCGTTATAGGAAAGGCCAGAGCAGACTCCACCTGCTCAGGAGGTCGTATGGAGTGCAGGGGGCTCTCCTGAGGACCTTCTTCGACACCGTTTTGGCATCAGCCATCTTTTATGGAGTAGTCTGCTGGGGTAGCAGCATCTCAACTGCAGACAGAAGGAGACTTGACAGACTCATTAAGAGGGCCAGCTCTGTCCTGGGAAGCCCCCTAGACCCAGTACAGGTGGTGGGAGACAGGAGGATGTTAGCCAGATTAGCATCGATGGTGGAGAACAGCTCCCACCCCGCGCATGACACTCTGACAGCACTGGGCAGCTCCTTCCTTCCTGCTGCTGTTAGACTGTACAATCAGCACTGTGCCTATTTAACCTATTGGATCCGGGCCTGCTTCCTGACCATTTTATCAGAAACACCATACAGGCACACTTTTAATTACTGACTGTAGCACATCTGTTGCTGCAGTTTATCAACCCTACTCACTCTACCCCATCCATCAGCGGAAAGGGACCGCCACAGGGCCCCCACTGACCGGATATTATTTGATGTTCTTCTCTCAGTGCAGCAGTAACACTAAAATAACAGAGGTAATGGTTTGCTGGGGTTAAAAGGCTTCTAGAAGCATGTACAAAATACATTCATGCTACGTTTTACACTGCTTTACTCGCTCTTACATGCCGCTCCTGTTATAAAACAAGTGTTGTTGCCTGCCGCTGAAGAGATTCAGTGTTCGACTGCTTTTGTCTGCAAGACACCTGGGTGTTATTTTGGAAGTATGTACATCACTGTACAAACAGTGACACTGAAATAATGACATTCAAATTTGATTTTTACATTTACATTCTACCCAAGATCTCTATTAATTGTAGGAAACCTTCCTCTCTCTCCTTAGATTCTCTCTCCCTCTATTCCTCTCTCCACAGCAGCTCTTTCATCTCTCCTCTCTCTCTGCTTTCCTCTCTCCACAGCAGGTCTTATCTCTTCATACCAGTTCTCTCAGGTCTCTCCTCTTTCTCTCTTTATTGCCTCCCTCTCCTCCCTTCTGTCCTTTCTTCAGCTTCCCTCTCTCACTATTCATCTCTCTCCTCCATCTTATTCGAGTACTACATGATGCCCTCTGACAAGAACAGATCAGTCCTTCTCTCTGTTCCTAGAATCCTCTCTGTCTAGACTTTCCTCCCTACAAGAGGGCAAAGAGGCTTCAGCGGCATCCTGGCTGGCTGAAACAATTAAAGTAGGTGGTGTTACTGAAGTCCTGCCACCTATTGCTTCATCCACTGCACTATACCCTGTGCTGACGTCTGTCTATGAACATTCAAGATCCTACACAAAACCAAAACCAAACAATTTATGGGCCTATAGACAAGTCCTACCCCAACAGAGAAAATGTCATTTAAAGCTGTTTCTGGCTTCATAGGTATTGTTAAGTCACTGCTGTGTTATTCCAGGTGGTTGCTAGCATGTTGCAAGGCCATTGTAATGGAATCACAGGTTCTACAATCCTTCAAAGTGTTGTGGTTCTAGCTCAAGAACTGTGACCCATGAAAACAGAGAAAAATAAAATGACCAACAGGCAAAGCCAACCGAACAATAACAGTAATAATAAATAAAATAAAAATAAAATGTGCTTAATGGGCTTTTTTCACTCTAAATCCAGCAGGATACTTTGTATTCCGAACCGTTCATACAGAACCGGTAATATAGGCAGGCTATTAAACCCTTAAATGGCCAGGGCCCACCAGCGTGCCCACAGTTTTATTACACACTTCTATAACCTAAGAATAGCTCAGGCAGTTTGCATTGATGTGCCAGTGGTTACTGAATAATAAGCATTAGTATGCAATAAGCCTCAGATATTAAGGGGTTAATGGCTAATAAGTCTTATATTTACCAGATCACTCACCTTATAGTTCTGCTTTACATTCTTCCATTTCTTTATAATCCTTGCTGTTGTCATCTGTCTTGTTAAATTGTGTTCTGCAGCAAATGTCCTGAAACACATTGCACACAAAGAAAAACAAATGAAAATACAACCTGAAAGACAAGATCAAAAACACATGAAGTTAACCAGAGCAACCAGTTTGAATTGTGTATGTATGTAAATATTTGTAAATAACATTGTAAGTTTGTACATTTTCAAAATCTCTTTTGTTCTTTGGCCATTCTGGATGAAACGATATACCTTATGAGGTGCATAACAAAAATAAACATAGTTAACTGTGCTACTGCACTCTTCTGGTCAACCGTCCAGTGACCCTCTGAACACCTGTCCTAGATGACCAAAGCACCTGCAGTGTTGCGTCAACTCTGCTGCAATATGCAGTGGATCTGGTGAATATTAATGATAAACTCTTCATTACAGCCTTCTTTTTTTTTTGTAAATAGCTGGATGGACTAGCAAAGTGTGTCCAAGCACATTCTTGTGGCCTTGTTAAACAGTATCTTAGCTCTCACTAGCTTCTAAAGCAGTGGTCACCCACCCTGGTCCTGGAGATCTACCTTCCTGTGGAATCTAGTTCCAGCCACAATCTGCCACACCTGCTCCAGCAAATGAGCTTCTTCAGAAGTCACTGCTTGGCTGGATCAGATGCATTAGTGTTAGGTGAGGGGAGGGCGGCATGTTAGAACTAAACTCTGCAGGAAAGTAGATCTCCAGGAAGAGGGTTGGTGACCACTGGTCTGAAGTGACTCCTCGATACTATACCCACTATTTAACTGCGGAAACAGATTGTGGCAACCAGGGCAGATACGCTTCACATACTGCTCTATTCACACTCTGTATTTGGACGTACTACTAATGGTGGTACTTTTATACGTACTATTTTGTGTGGTGGTCTGCAGTTTGGGGTGCAGCTAATGTGTTGGTGAGGGTCACTTTAGCCAGGGGTGCTGCAGTATGTCACGGAGAGAGGGTCTGCTTCGAGACCGCTTGTCCAGACAGCTCCTCAAAAGATCCTCACAATCTGCAGAGACACAGGGAGACGCTTGGTCAGAACTGTGTGTGGGTGGGAGAGAGAGAGAGAGAGAGAGAGAGAGAGAGAGAGAGAGAGAGAAAAGAAAGACTTTCTGGACACAAAGTTGTTACATTCTTCACACAGAGAGAGAGAGAGACACACAATATTGTCTATGAGAACAACCAAATGGTTGGAAAAGACAGTCAAGCTTGGAACAGCTGAAGGTGAAAGTGATTCCAAATGTCGTAGATGGATGTAAATGAAAACACACAACACATCTGGACAATAACTGCACAAGTGAGACTCTCTGCAGACTATTGTGTGTCCACACTCACCTTGGGACAGTTGGTCTCGTATGTAGGGGTCTTTGGTCATCATTTCCCAGGTGTTGCTGAAGGGGCGCTCTCCATGAAGCATGATGTAGAGCACAACTCCAATCTGCCACACTATGGACGGCTCTGCCTGGGGAAAAGCCTGCAGGCAGCACTCAGGAGGAGTGCACTCAGCCAATCCTTTAAAGTAGAACAGAGACAGTCAGTGGACACGTGTGGACGTTTCTGGACTTTATTATAAACTCTCCTGCTCACAAGTTCACAATCAACCTTTTCAGTAATACACATTTAAAAATAAAGGTCCCAGAAAAGGTTCTTTGGCATGAAGAACCCTAACGAACCGTTCAGCAGAGAGCTCTGTAAAGAAACATTTTTTTTAAATGAGAACCTCCATATAACGTCAAGGGTCTATATCAGTTAAAGGGTTTTCCTAGAAATCCAATTAAAAAAAACATTTAAGAACCTTTATTTTTAAAAATGCAAACCAATTTGGTTGTAGACTTAAACACATAAACTGATTCTAATATTCTCAGCCCAGTACAAGCCCAATTTTAAAGGTTTCTCAGAATTAGTAGCAGAACTCTGAGTGTCTAGAATGATGAACAGAGCTGTAGATGGTTCTAAGATGTGACAGAACATCTGTATAAAACTGTCAAATCATACCAAACAAGACACTTTGTTGAATATGAAGCTGAGAGTTGCAGAATGTACCTAAAATATCAACGAACAGCTGTTTTATGCTGACAAAACCTTCAACTCAAACAAAATTAAACATTACATGATACATTTTAAAAGAACGTAAGGGTTCTTCAAAGTGTTCACTGCAAATCCATACCATAAAAACTGGTGTGGCCTTCTCGCAAAATGCTGCCAACACCGAAGTCCAGGATGCGAATGCGTAGACCCTCAGGGTCTGTATGTACCAGAATGTTTTCTGGCTTAATATCTTGGTGGAGGACTCCCTTAGAGAGGAGGCTGACCAGAGCCTCAACTAGCTGCCTCAGGATTACCTGCAGTATGAAAGAGAGGATGGAGTTAATACAGTAAAAGCAGGACGTTCTTGCTTACGGGACACCACAGCTAAAAACTGTAGTAGGCATGAATTTTGCCTATTTTTAAATATAACAGTATGTCATACAGCATCAGAAACCACACAAGAATGTCTATCTGAGATTACTTAACAACTCAACTAAGGCGAGTGAGTGCTAATTTAGGTATACAGTTTGTTAGTAGTAACCATGTCCATTATAGCTGGATCTTCAGTTTGGGCCATAAATGTCAAAACTCAAGTGAGGAAACAACCCAAACATAATGCTAATTTCTGCTAGCACCCCTTTGATTTTTTAGCATGTTTGCTTTAAGGTAACACTGGTCCACATGAATGGTGAACACTTTTTAGCCTTTCTAGACTACAAACATTTAAAGACATTTAAAACTTGTAAAAGACATTCGAGATGTTTTGCTTGAACCTTGTAACTGACATTAACATACATTTTAGTGCTGCTCCTGCTGCTTTTTACCATTTATAACAGTCGACTGAAACCCGGTTAGATTACTGCTCGTATTCACAGTCTATGACATATCTAGAACTTTCAGAAAGAAACCGGCATGAAAATAAATATTAAAACATGATTGGTTGATTCCAGTCACTATCTAATTATGTTGGCCGTGAAGGCCTTCTGATGAACTACTGCAAAGTCAACGTCCTCCTCAACGTCAACAAGGCAAGGGAGGTGTTTGACCTCGTCATCTTAAAGGAGTTGGCGGATGAACTTCTTAGTAGGCAATGATGTGTCTTTGGGGAGCACGGTCTCTCACCTTGGCCTCCTCTTCTTGTAGGTGACCTCCACTGTCCTGGATGTAGTGGAACAGGTCCATGGAGGGCACTGGCCGCTCCATCACGATCACCAGCTCCTCCTGTAGCTCATACCAGTCCAGCAGCGCCACGGAGACGCGTCGCGTCTCTCCGGCAACGGCCTCGACTTCCCCTGCCATCGCCAAAAGCACCACTTCCAGTGGGAATTCCTTCTGTTCTCCATCCACAATCTATACCAGAGCACATGATTACACACAGTGCTCCTCCAGGCTCCACCAAACTTCTGTCTTGTAGACCCACCTTACTTATGTACAGTTAACGACTTTAACAGTTAAACATGGAATATAATGTATGTTTATATTGCAAATAATCGTACATACATTCAAGTTTAAAGCAACTCGTTCAGGATTTAAGGGTTAAGGCCTACATGAAATTAATCATCTGTTTTAGAATAAGAAAAAGCGAAATCTGTGTAGTAGACCTGCCTTACTGATATCGTCCTTTGCAATAATGACACTCAGCTATCACTCAGTGATACTCGGCTTCCTAGCAGCAAAGTTACCTATCTGACCTCTTTCTGTATTAGTCTATACAGCCTGCCCCCCACAAATCCACCCCAGATTTAGTAGTTTTTCACTAAAAGATTTCACTCTCAAGAATATCATGGCACTGTGACAGTAGGCAAGTAGCCATGTTGACAACAAATGAAGCAATGGTTACATTTTGAGTTTTTCTGACCTGATAATTTTGTACTTAAGTTGTTTTTTTTTTTTTAAAGAGAAACAATCTGTCTGTCTATCTATGATGACCACAGCAGATACGGACTGATGATCAGCTGCTTTTCTTCATACATTAAGATTTGTCCAGACAGCTACTTTTAGCCTTTGGTCCTACAGGGTCAGTAATAAGCTGATGTGTGAATAGAGAAACAGAGCCGAGTGTGTGTACGTGTTACACTCACCACAGTGATGTGTTTCACGTTGTTTTTGGGGATGTGTTTAATAGCCACCTGCAGGATAAAGAAAAGCCGGATTAAAAACATCACCGCTCTATAAACAGCTGCAGAAGGTGTAGAAGTGTGTGTGTGTGTGTGTTAGTTACAGGCAGCAGGTCATCTCTGCGGTAGCCGGCGTACACTGAGCCGAATCCTCCTTCACCCAGACAGTCCTGCTGCATATACTTGTGCTCCAGCTCATCTACAGGGAGAGTAGAGAGTTAACTGATCCAAGATGTACGTGTGTGTGTGTGTGTGTGTGTGTGTGTGTGTGTGTGTGTGTGTGTATGTGTGTGTGTGAGACCTCTGGTCCACTTGGGGGACTGTGTTGTCTGAGGGGACAGGGAGCCACTAGAGATTCAGCTCTACACGCTTAAAAAAGATGGTCCTTCTGGGGTTCTTTAGTAAAGACAATGGTTCTATGAACCATTTCATGCTTAAATGGTTCTGTACATGGTGAAATCGGATCATTGGATGGATGGTGAATGTGTTGAATATTGTTCTTAATGAAACCATTTTGAAAATGGTTTAATATAGCACCAAAAAGTGCTGCTATCATTAAGATGTCAAGCTAGCTAAGTTAGCAGACTTTAGAACTGTTATTAGCAAAATATCAGACTCTAAGATGATTTCTACTCACACACACACTCACACAAATGTCTACAGTTAGTTACAGTTACACAGAATCGTGTAAAGTCAAGTTACCATTTTCATAAAAGTGTAAAAATATAGCAAAACCCCTCGTTCTCTAGTTGCTAGCATACAGGCTAATAGCTCTACCATTATATCTTCTGAACTAGCTATAGTCAAAATATTATGAAATATATTAATATTATAATCTTACAATAGAGAACTCTTTATGTGTTAATTAAAAATAGTGATCAACACATCAGAACTATTCCAGTCTACATTCTGGTCCACTTAGTGGTCTGTATTAGTGTTTGGTGACTTTACTGTGGTCTGTAAAGTGAAGCCAGACACAGCCCGAGTTCAAATACACACTCAGTAAACTGCAGCCGTTATTAGGAAGAGCTTTTGTTTTTTAAGTAAAACCTATGATTTGTTTCAGTGAAGGTTTTATGCTTTCTTTTATTATTTTAGTATGTGAACTATTTATTATATTATTGTATGTCAGTACTACATTTGGGGTGTGAACAGAGTGTAAGAGAAGCCTGAACTCTTCCTATTTCTGTTTTATCAAAAACATGACAGCAGACCACCAGAGGGCGACCGCGAGCGAGTCCTAAATGAATGGGGGTGAATGGGGATTAAAGGCTAAAAAAAAAAAAAAGTTAAAATAGTTTCTAACCACTTAGAACTTTCCTTTAATTTTAGAAAGTAGATGGATGTATTTCACTAAAATGCAGAGAAAATTTCAAACTTACCTGTTTATTTCCTTTTTTTCTACAGCAAACAAGTTTTTGACGGCGGCAGAGCCACGTAGATGGCTCTGGGCAGCAGGACGCCGACATAACTACTGCTGAGTGCTGATTGGTTGGTATTACTGCTACCGAGTGCTGATTGGCTGGTGAACGGAGCAACTCATTATATTATATATTAAAATGTTTTTAAAAAGTATTTATAAACTATGATTTTGCTCAAATGCTCCATATTAACCCATTCATTTTTCACTCGCTCGGGTGCTCCCTCTAGTGTTAGACAAAGACATTACAGAGTGATAATTCTCCTCTCTGTAAGTTCTCTGGTACGAGTTGGTAGACGATGACCTCGCTTCATTTAATTAGGTTTTACCGCCACCTACTGTTTGTCTCGGGCGACTGACTGAGTTAATCAGTCAGTCAGGCTAAATCTCAAATGGCTCACTATTCCCTATGTAGGGCACTATGTAAGTCATGAAACTAAGGCTTCCACACCCAAATAGTGCACTAAATATTAAACAGGGAGTTGTGCACCTTGTGGCTGAATCCCCAGTGGCTTTTTATTGATTTATAATGCAATATTTATTGTTTATTTCATTATCTACAGAGTGCACTACATAGGGAGCCATTTGAGATTCAGCCTGAGAGACTCCGCACGAGACAGGGACTTTCATCAATCACTGGCTCTAGATATGGCAGTTTTTTTCTCTTCACTATGAAACTTAAATCTGCCTTTTTGGTCCTGGTTGGTGTTTATTTTCAATTTTGTGAACAAATGTTTAGTGACTCTTAATTTTGTAAACTTTTCTCTTGACCATAAAGCTCAAACCTGCAAAAGAAATATTTGTTAATTACCTAAATTAGCCATACAGTTAAATGATCTTTGCTATGGTTTCCCTGCTGTAATTACAGTCTCATCACAAAAAGTTCATTATTGAGAATTACTGAGTTATTATTATGTGAGCTGAAAAAGGCCTCAGTGACAAAACTCACTTAGCGTTTTCCTGGAACGCAGAAAATACTCGGACATGGTCCTTACAAAGGTGCTTCAACACTTCAACACGTAGAGTCAAATTTCACAGGTGAAAGTCAGTCGTATGAGAGACTGAACGAGAGAAGTGTCGCTACGTTCAGCTCTGCAGGTTAAACTTGGGAATTATGTCATAATGGAACAAAGTCATAATGGACATCACAGAGAATGGCTGCCTCCACAGGACTACTTCAGTGGTTGCCATGGAAATGGAGATGGCGAGGTTAAGGGATTAGGAAGGGGGTGGGCTTGGGCTGGAGCAGGTATGGCTGCCTCTGACATCATACATGTCAATCTGCTGCACTGTACCTATTCTTTGAGTGCAGCAGAAAACTCGGACAGTCGCTCTACTGTTAACTAAGTTAATAAAGAACAGAAAGGGAATGTTGTGGTTTGTATTTGTCGTAATGTTTGTGTTTTTGTAATAAATAAATGCTTACCACTCATTTTTTGTCAGATACAAGACTTTTGCACAGGACATTAGACTATTAAAGCACCCATGAATATATAATAATAATAATAACAATAATAATAATAATAATAATAATAATAATGATAATAATAACTTTGGGTCTCATTCACCAACCTTTCTTAGAAAGATATTACTTCTAAAAACACACACAGTTTTCTGTAAGATTCTGACATTCACCAGTATTTCCTTATTTGGGATTTGTTCTTATGTAAGAACAGAATCTACACACACTCGAGAGCACACGTGAGAACAATTCTGCAGTTTAAGAAAGTCATTAATCTGACTTTTTCTTAGAACCTTTCTGCAGAACAAATTTAAGTAAAAACTGTTGAAGTTATTGGTGAATGAGGCCTATTATTGATATTAATTTAAAGGCTTTCACTCTATGTGTCATTTGTATTTTATTATGTTCCTTGACGTCAAAAATTTTATACAACACCTGTGTGGTTTTATTTAATAAAAATAATCAAAATTCATTTTCATATGACCGTTTTTCAGCCTATCTTTATCTCATATTCATACAGCCTTTTTATTTTTTGTGCCTTTAAGACAGATATATGTAAATGACCTCTGTTCTGGAAGCCTGTCCACGATTTTGCCAGGCTGAAACACTCCTTATAACTTCAGCATGAATGGGCAAGGTTAAACTGCTTAAACTAAATGTGCTGGTTTTTGTGACATCACAAAACTAATTAATTCGAAACAGGCTGTTTTGAAGCGTATTTCCCATGTATGGTCTGTATGGACTGGGGAGTGAATGGTACATTATGAATTTAACTCTATTATGCTTATTTCAGGAATGTGGTGGAGTTTTCCTATTATAAACTCTAAGTTGGGCATAAATCCCGCTCAGTGGTCTTGTGTCAGTCCTGGAGGGCTCCATTATCTACATTACTCAAACCTCTGGCTTAGACCAGAAACAGGCCTCTCCATACACAACACAAAGCGTGACAACAAATAGATGAGAAAGTTATAGCCTGTGATTTAGCACAAATAACTGCCCCCCATCACTTCATTTGGAGGAAATGAGAAAAGAAACATAAGAAATAGGCAATAACTTTATTCATAAGGCAGCTTTCAAACACAAAAATGCAGATCAGTTTCACTGTATATTTAAAAATTAGTAAATCAACGTAAACAACACTATATAAAGCTAAAATAGTATAAAATAGCATTAAACTAACATCATTTAATAAAACTAAAAATCTATAAGAACAAAATCAGTAAATATGAAGAGATACCTTATTCATTATGTAAATAGCAAAACTAACAAAAGCAATAATAACTTAATATTTACTTTAAAAAGGTCTAAATAATTACATTATTATGATGTAAACAAAGCCACTTAGACTGGTTTGAAGTGAAGTGCTCTATTCTAGAGAGCAGAACAGAACTTAGAGTCAGAATCGTTCACAGTGGTGGTGATAGGAACCAGACGTCTGAAGCGTTAAATGCATCACAGACAGTTACTATATGAACTGGTTACAAATACTCTGCCTGACAAAGTGCCGCTCCTCACCTTCCTGGAACCCCAAGAAAACCCAAATACACACAGTACAAAACATGATACACATACAAAAAAAAAAAACAACAATCATTGAGCAGGATGTGTGGCTTAAGGTTTTGTTTATTGTAAAGAGAATCAGTAACACCAATAAATCACTTATATGTTAAGGCCATAAATGTCCTCTAATATCATAATTTCAAATGAATTGTTGGATCTTCTCTGACATTAAAAATAAAAACAAAAAACCCAAACAGATCCCTGACTGACTTTTGTTTAGGTGTGTATGTGTGTGAGTGTGTGTGTGTGTTTATCAATGCTTGACCAGTCAAACATTTACCCCAGCTCATCAGCGAACACAGAGAGAGAGAGAGAGAAAGAGAGAGAGAGAGAGAGAGAGAGAGAGAGAGAGAGACATTACAGACAAAAATAACAGTGTAAATCTGTCAGCTTTAACTAAACTGGAAATAAGTGCATTAGCTAGCTATGCTATATTATTTAACACTACCTTAAATGCGTAGCCCTGCAGTGGAGAAAAGCAGGTTTAGTTCCACATCAGAAAATCTCTTCTGTACAGCTGTAGTTTTGTTCAGTGACAGCAGGAATCACATCCGAGGCTTGTGGTCCTTACAAGTATAGCAAGACAAGAACAGACACATAAACACAAACACACACAAAAACACACACATCGAGTGCTCAGTAAAGCCAGGGGTGATGAGGAGTCTAAAGGTCATAGTCCACATGAACCAATCTGTCCTGGTCACTTCTGAGACATAACAAGTTCTGAACATGATTAGATTCTCTCTCTCTCTCTCTCTCTCTCTCTCTCTCTCTCTCTCTCTATTAATCCACTGTTTGGTATTATTTACCATAAACATAAAAATCTTTATATTCACCAAGTACAAGAGGAATTTCTCTTGGAGCGGGGGTCAACATAAGTTCCAATAAAATAGAAAATAATTTATATAAAATATGCAGCACACAATATAATCTGCAGGTAACATAAAACTGTATATAACACTGTACATAACATCCAGAAAAAAACATCCAAAAGTACTGTCAAAAATGTATAAACCACTCTTTTGTTTATTAGTCATTTCTAGCAAAACAGTTAACCCCTTAAATGGCCATGGACCACCAGTGGGTCCAGTTTTATTACACACTTCTATAACCTAAGAATAGCTCAACCAGTTTGCACTGAAGTTCCTGTAGTTACAGTTCAAAGACATAAACCTGAGGTAAAAGCTGTTTAGTTCTTCTCTGTCTTCGTTGTGCTCACTTGTTGCCACGCCATATGTAGCTACGAGGTGGTCTGGGGACTCAATGGTGGGTTCAGCATCCAACTGACGCAACATTTCGTTTTTGATATAACGGGGGAAATAGGAAGCGGCCAGGCTCCTCATAGACCGGCTCTAGTAAAGCAGCTCACTTTCCTGTACTTGTCCACGTTTAGCTGTTGAGGCTGTTGGAATAACAGTACATCCCTCTCTGATTTGTCCTCTATCGCCCCCTTCAGTACTGAGTGTTTTAACTACCACAGCAATGTAAGAACGCACGGTAAGTTTGTACAGAAGGACTGAGCGTTTGCAGTGCGTTGGCCGAGCGCTGTCTTTTGTGTTCCTGGCCTAACAGAAGTCTTGTGCATCTCTTGCACAGTGATAGGAAACACGGCAGCTCACAGAACACTCTGATTCTAAACGCTGATGTGTTGCACTGACCAGTGTGAACATCCATGCGCTGTAACTCTTATGGCAGATTTACATGCGTTTAAGGGGTCATTACAAAATTCTCAGAATGGGACGCCAACATGATGAACATGGTTTGACTGATTGTTCTATGTGGTTGTATTATTCATATTTTAAAAACATATTCTGGTCCATCTGTGAGTTGTATGGGTCAGCCCCAAAAGTTTGGTCACCCCTGGTGTAATTAGTTAATGCGGTGGTTATTTTCATTTATTATTTTTCATCTCGCCACTTTCTTCACTGCCCACTGAGATAACTCAACTTCCTCCTAACCTTTTGGCCTGGTTGCTCCAGATTATCCCCCTCCCCTCTTACATATTGGTTGAGACCACCGTGCACGGCCACCTCCCCCTAACTAATGCACTCCTCTCACACACTGCTGTGTGCGGTCCGGTCAGGTCCGAAGTCCTCGTGCTGTGGGCTGTTGTCCGGCGTCCAGCCTCCCTCTGTGTTTAACCGCGCTCTCGACATGTGGTGCAGCAGAACGGCGCTCAGGCGGCTCGCGCTCCAAACGGCTCCGCTTTCTCTCGCGGGATTTCGGCGAGACATGTCTGCCTTACCGCGCGTGTACGTCACACGCCAGATCCCTCCGCGCGGACTGCAGATCCTTCGCGAGTCCGGCCAGTAAGTGTGGCAAGCTTAAAGGAGAATTCCACCAAATCTTTCAAAATTCTGTATAAATCAGTGATGAGATGTAAACAAAGCCAGAGTGGTTTGGTGTGAAATGGTTAACTGCAGAGAAACTTACAGACTCTGATTTCTTTACAGTGGTGGTGATGGGAGCCAGGGGTCACAGTCTCTACAACACAAATATAGACATTTTATTGACTGTTCAAAACCACCAGTGAACCTACACGTCTTCTGAGTTTTTATATGTAAAATTAAGTGTTAAAATAGCAGTAAATCTGAAAAAAGAGGACTATTTTGCCTTATAACACCTTCCATATAACCCTCTACCATGAACAGATTAAAATAAACTGATTAAAAATACATTTTAGGCCAAACTTTATCACAAAACTAACCTAAAACAATGCCTCAGGCATCACGCTGAGTGTTCATGACCATTTCAGTAATAACTTTCTGCGAGAGAGGTTTTAGAGGTGGACGTCTGGTTCCTATCTCCACCACTGTGAACAATTCTGGATCAGTAAGTTTCTGTAGAACAAACAAACAAACAAACAACAACAACAACAAAAAAAAACTCTGAATGACTTTGTATACATCTTAAACATTTAATTGTGCAAGAATTTTGAAAAATTGGTGGAGTTCCCCTTTGAAGTAGTGTAGCACAGTGGTCCTCCAAATCAATGTACAGTGTCCTGGAATAGCTCTGTCCTTTACAGGTTAGGATTTGCTGATTTAAAGCAGAAGTTTTCACATGTTCTGCATAATACAAGCATTGAGATGTAAACACAGTCATTCAGAGTGGTTTGATGTGAAATGGTTCACTGTAGAGAAACTTACTGACTCTCATTTCTTTACAGTGGTCAGAATGTCTGCAACACAAATATAGCCATTTTATTTACTGTCCAAAACAACCAGTCAACTGACACGTCTTCAGAGTGTTTATATGTAAAAAGAGTTATAAATCCGAAAAAATTACTTTTCTTTAGGCACTGTTTCATACACAAGTACAAAAGACCATGGATTCACATGTTTTTTAAATTACTTTTCTCCAAATAACAGGTTAATTTCATGTTTTTTTCTTGAGATCTCATGTTATTTATATCATCATGACACAACAAATCTATCTTGTTAAACACTGTCCGTTATGTCATGATAATGATGTAAATAACTCAGCATCTTGAGAAAGCAACATTTGTTTGCTGTGATTGTGACATATCACAAGATCTTGAGAAAACAAATGCAAATAACTCATTATCACAGAAAAACAGAATAAAAAAATAAAAAAAATATGCAAATCAAGCACTTTAGGGCTTCAGGTAAATTTGGACTGTTAAACTATTTAAGACCTCTGTGCCATGAATGCATTTAAAAAAATGCTATACACTTAGAATAATATTCCAGTAACCAGTAAATGACCAATATATTTTACAATATTTCTCTCCTCTCCACGTCAGTTGGGTGGTCCTAATGTTGGGTAACACTTCTGTAAGCAGTCCCCTGACCAATCACATAGCTGACATCTCTTGCCCCGCCCACACAGAACAGTTTCAGAGTCAGAGAAACTTAGCCAGCTAAAGCTAAACCAACACAGCTAGCCTGTCTGTAGCTGCCTGTCACCCGTTCATTCATTTATCCATACACAAACATTGTTCGTTAATTCATTCCATCATTCATGCGTTGCTCTGTCCGTCCATTTGTTCATCCACCCGTCTGCACGTGTTCGTCTGTGGTTTTTTTCATCCAGTGTTTCAGCTGCAATAAATAGGTTTTGGGGGTTTGAAGACCTCTCTGTTGGAAATGTGTAATTGCATGCAATGTGTGGAAGAACACTTTGTAACGTGAGTTGTGCTTCGGACCCCTTCCCTGAGTGGATGAATCTGATGATTGCGAGCGTGTTGAAAGAGAATTCAAAGAGAACCCACTCAAAACTTGATGAAGGTTGTGTCTTCTGAGGATGTGAGTGAATTTTCTACTTTTGTCATCATCTTCTCATATGTATGATGTTGATTTTGTATATGAGACTGAAACATCGAGCCGGATCTTCTTTTTGAGCCTGTGTGTGTGATGTTAATATGTGAAGATGTACAACGTGGTCCGAAAGCCTCCCACAAATTCGACCCATCATCTCTGACTTGTAAGTTATTATTTCACGATGCATCATAGCCAAACTTTGGGCTATATAGATCACTCTGCAGAATTGGGTCAAAGTTGACAACATATTTTGCACTTTTAATTGACTTGGACTTCAGACTAAAATGCTTTTGCTTTGAATGACCAACAATTATTATGTTTATTTTATTGAAATAAATGTTTGAACATTCCATTTTGTCACTTCCAGACAAAATTTTAACACTATCCAAACTTTACCAATAATGTCGGTAATGACAATTTTAGCTAATAATTTTGAGATAATTTTGAGCAGAACTCAAAAACACTAGTCAGTACCTGACTTTCAAACACAGCTTTAATCAGTGTATACATATGAACTCATTTGTCAATAAAACACAAAAAACATTACTTAATTGCAGAAAATCTGTGTTTTGGTAGTGACGATTCTGAATGTTACAGACTGACTTTCAGACTTTGGGACACATTTACTTCAAAACAATGGAATCTAACTGCTCACCATTTGGCCATGAGGGACAGGGATGCAGTCTCACTTCCTACTCTACAGTGCAGGGGTGTGGCTAAAATAAGGCTCCGCCTACAGACTAAATCTCTTTGTGTTTCGGTAGTGACATGAAAATGTTGGACAGCATTTTTTGAATATATTTTTTTATTAAAAAATTGAACTTACGATAAATATTTCAACTTCAGGTTAAATAAATAAAATAAATAAATAAAAAAAAACCATCAAAAACAAAAATAACTAAGTATTATTTTAACAAGTTGAAATTTAGTGGTTAGGGTTTGGGACAGACACCTCCCAAAACAAAGTACCCTATAAATGATGGCTTTGTATACATTTTGCTTATTACTGTCTCAATTAATTATCAATTAATGATTTGAGTTTAAGTAGATGACAACATAATCCTCATAAATATCTTTGCAGTTTGAACTAATTCTGTAGAATGGTCCATATGTGTTTTAGATAAAGAGTCATGAAACAAGCCACAGGTGTGGGTGATAATGAGTGGGTGGAGCCAAGGTGAAGTTGGAGCCAGACTTTTGATACAGTGACACATGCTCGGTTTCCATCCATGCATTTTTGGGCATATTTTGTCTTGTCGAATAAAAAAAATGACTTGACAGAAATAGAAAATAGTGAATAGATACAGCAAAATTCACATAAAAGTCTCTACACTTGCTTGAGGTGATGAAACTTTTGGGGGTGTTTCCACCTGGCTTTTCATGTCGTCAAGTGAAATCCGAATGTGATCCGATCACCAGATGCATGTTAATGTGAGGTGTAAACAGGCCCTACACGGATGGAGGAGGGTTGATAAAATGGCAGCTTCTCTGGATCCACATATTTCTCTCTCTCTGCTCCTCTTTCTTCTTCCTCAGAGTGCAGTTTGAACTGTGGGACTCTGACGACCCCGTTCCTCGTCAAGAGCTGCTAAAAAAGGTCAAAGGTTGTGATGGACTGCTCTGTGTGCTGACGGAGAAGATTGATGCTGAAGTATTAGATGCTGCAGGTCTGGCGAGAAACCTCTTATCCAGTAATGACGGCCCATGAGACAAATAAGTATCTATAATGGTGGAGCTGAAAGTCTGTTTTGCTGTATTCAGGTCCCAACCTAAAGGTGCTCAGTACCATGTCAGTGGGGTTTGACCATCTTTCACTGGATGAGCTAAAGAAAAGGTCAGTGGATGTGCAAAAAAAAGAGAAAAATGTATTTCCTTTTCTACTCAAAGACTCAGTGCTTCCAGTATTATAAAACCAATTTGGCTGCAATGATTCCAAATGCTAGTTCTGCATTTTAGATAATTATGAAGAAATGTTAGAACCAGAAGGATGAACAGAACTGTAGATGATTCTAACATGACTGAGAAAGCTACCATTAGGACCACTTCTGAATACTTAGGGGGCTTAATTAACATCCTACTTTAGGGGGCCCCACCCAGCTCTATCATAAGAAGAATTAACACTTCATGTTGATGAGGAAAGAGATTTAATAAATATGTGAATAATCAACAATGTATGGGGTAAACAGAATAATTTAAAAAATAAAATAAAAATGTCATTGCAATGCTTGTTTATCAATTATCATCAAGGGTGTCTTCATAGGACACTTCGTTTTCTGCCTGTAACATGACACAAACAATAAAAATATTCAGGTTTTTAAGTGATTGCACTCGTATTTCTTGCGCTCATAGCAGGAAATGACCTTTACATACATTTATCCTATAATATACTTATGTTTTAATAACTTTTTTAAAAACTTTGCTAAACACTGCTGTTCTCAAGCTGCTTGAAATGTTAATTAAAACATCAGAAACACATTTTGCTGTCCAGTTTATAAGATTTAAATTGACATTGTAAAAGTTATTATTTTATATATTATAACATAAATATTAATCTGACAAGCGATTCCATATAGTATGTTGCTGTCACTACTAAAACAGCTGCTAACATCTCTAAAAGCTTGTACATTGTTGAGATATGAAGTTTAACTTGATTTTATAATGATGTTTCTTCAGGGGGATCCGTGTAGGATACACTCCTGAGGTGCTGACCGATGCTGTGGCCGAGCTGACCATTGCCCTTCTCCTTGCTACATCGCGAAGACTCATTGAGGCCTCACACGAGGCCAAAACGTACACAAACACAGATTCATTCTTTCAGCCATTTGCTTGTGCTCATGTTGCAGCAGTGAGGAGGAATATAATTGGATTTTGGTTTGTGGATTGTTTTGAAGTCATTTTAGCTCAAGCTACAACAGACATAACCTAAAAACATCACCGGGGAGAGAAATTACCCAAAACAGTGTGACTAGGGGCTGGTTTTACCCAGATTAAGCTGTCTGTTATACTGTAGATGATTTGTAATGGTGATTCAGTATTGATGTTATAATTTAGTTCTTGAATATGTTTAATTAATTTCCAGCTAAGCTAAATGTTATTTATTTAAAGTCAATGTAAATTTGAAAGCATTTTAATACAGTAATAATAGTAATAATAGATAATACAGTATTGTGCAAAAGACCACCCTTCATTTATTGTATTTCTAGTCAAAGCGGCCATTAAGCATGTTATTTTATTTTTCAGGAGGTATTTCTGAGGAGATTAGATATAAGATAATCCACTTGAAAGAGGAACAGGAGTTTTCAAAACTGTAAAAAAAAATAATTAAAAGATACAGAGAAAATGAAATAATAATAACCACCTGAAAGCCCTGGTAGACCACCAAAACTGACACTTTCAGATAAACAGCATTTAAAGCTTTCATCTTTGAGAGGAGAAAATCAAGCTCCACTCTTGATTCACATCTGAAAAAATCCACAGCCATCCTTCCACTGGGAGAAGACGACTCAACCCTTAGTCAAAAAGGATATGTAGCTGTCAAGAAGCTGTTACTGAGAAAAGTAAATAGACAAAAAGAAAAACATTTGCAGATCCAACAAAGAAGCTGTTGGTGTTCTCAGAACAATGGACTGACCACCCCAGAGTCCAGACCTCAACATCACTGAATGTGTTTGATTACTTGATTACATGAGAAGCAGAAAATACAACCAACTTCTAGGACTGAACTTTGAAGGTGTGGAAAAATATCCCTGCAGATTTTTTTGAAAAGCTAAAAGCAAGTCTCCTGAAAAAAATAGAGGTTGTAATAAAGCGTGGACAGACTAAATACTCACTCATCATCTAAGCCGCTTATCGTCCTAGGTTGTGAGGGGTGCTGGAGCCTATCCCAGCACTCATTAGGCAGAAGGCAGGAAACACCCTGGACTGGTCAGCAGTCCATGACAGGGCAGACAAATAGACACACACACTCACACCTTGGGGCAGTGTTGTATCTCCATTTGACCTGACTGCATGTCTTTGGACTGTGGGAGGAGACACGGGGAGAACATGCAAACTCCACACACAAAGGACCCTGGTCGCCCGGCCGGGGAATCGAACCTAGGCCCTTTGTGCTGCTGGGCAACAGAACTACCCAGTGTGAATTTGTTAGATTTTTTAATGCTGGACAAAAATGATTACCAAATCTGATTATTCCTGACTAGCTCAGAAATCTAAACTGAAGTGTATGTGTTTAGAGGCGGCTGGGGAACGTGGAGAACTCTGTGGCTGTGTGGGTACGAACTGGCCGACAGCACGGTCGGCATCCTCGGACTCGGAAGGATTGGTGAGTGATCAGTTCTTGAACCAGTTCATATCAATCTATCTCAGATCTTACAGGGGACAATACTATTCATCCACTTATTGTTTATACGTTCAAGATATATAATTTACAATTTAATCTTTTATGCAAAACATATAATTAATCAATCAATGACCCCCTTTAAACAGCAGGTTTTTATTCAGTTATTCATCTTAAGACTAATCAGTAACTATTATAAATTACTAAGTAACTACTGTGTAACTAGAATGTAAGTTGTGTAGTCATGAAAGTAAGGAATTGAAAGGTGGACTCACATTTAATGTGTTAAACAATTAAATTACTGATTATTGTTATATTCTGAAAACTGTAACAACCTATAATGAAACAAAGCTCTGTTTATGGTGCACTATAAAGTCATATGCAAAAGTATGAACACCTCCAGTCAGATTCCATTACTTTTTATTGATTTTCTAAGTGAAATTTATCATTTTTTACTGGCAATAAACTTAAATATAGCATTTTCTCTGCAAATTTAGTGCACAAAATGTGCCATTACTTTACCCCCTTAATAACTCAGGCTTATTACATACTATGGCTTATTATTCAGTAACTACAGGGACTTCAGTGCTAACTGGTTGAGCTATTCTTAAGTTATAGAAGTGTGTAATAAATGTTGGCCATGTGAGGAGTTAAGGTTGCTGACACAGGTGTTTAGTTGAGCACATAACTTCTATAATCTTCATAGAGAAGCTCTGGAGCAGCCGCACTTGAGCCTAAGGTCACCCAGCCCATTGACCACCAGCACTGCACTGTGAAGCAGTGGTACTGTGTTCTCTGTGATGTAGCTCCATCCAGTATCTTTGGGATGAGTTGGAGTGATCCAGAACTGATCAACCAACAGCACTACCTGACCTCACTAATGCTCTGGTGGCCCAGTGCAATCAAATCCTCACAGCAATGTTCCAACATCTAGTGTAAAGCCTTCTCAGGAGACTAGACGCTGTTACTGCAACAAAGAGGGAACAAACTCACTATTAATACCCTTGATTTCAGATGAAGTGCTGGATGAGTTTGTCTACATGTTTTTCAATTCTCAGTTGTGAGTTGTGTATGTTTGTGTGGTAGGAGTGGCCATTGCTGAGCGTCTGAAGCCCTTTAAGGTGAAAAAGTTCATCTACACAGATGTGGCACCGAGACCTGAACTTGCAGAGGCAATCCAGGCAGAGTACGGTAAAGAGAGAGTACAGTTTACTGCACTGAGCTTCACTTTGTTCACTCTTATTTCAAATGTATTCCTTTATACGTTATACTCTCTATGTTACACAGCAGAGGTTCTTTATACCTTGAATCCAGCTTCCAGCCCATATTGTGTATTTGCTGGTAGTGAATTGGAATGGAACCTAGTGTCATACCAATAGCGACTGCAAAATCTAGTACCGGTACCAGGATTCAAGGTCCAGATTTGAAGACGTCTTTATAGAGTCAAACTTGTGAATGTCTAACTGGTGTAAATCAAAATGATGACGAGCCCTAAAGCCCAACCGATTTATCAGTTGGCCACTATTGTTGACCTATGGTTTTTTGGTATCGGCAAAAATATCACTGATATCACTTCACTGGGACTCAAACTCACGATCCCCCAACATTATGACAAAACACTGGATGGCTGTGAACCCAATATGAGACCCTGTTTAACTAACATAATACAGGCTGAACTGGTGAACCTAAACACAAAACACCATCATGATTACAGTAAAACAACTATGCTGTAACATTTCTAACATTTCTTTATAGTGGTGCTGATAGGAACCAAAGGTCGGGATTAATTTACAGTCCAAAATGACTAGTAAACCTACACATCTTCTGTGTTTTTATATGTAATGTTGATGATGGTAAAATAGTGGGGACCATTTTTAGGACTATTTTTCCTTATAGTGCTCTTCATGTGCCTCTCTGAATTTTAAAAATACATATTTTGCCAAAAATGTATCTCAAAATTATCATAAAACAGTGTCTGAAACATCAGGCAACATATTCAGGAACATTTCATGTAATCTTTCTGTGAGGGAGCTTTTAGAGGCATTAAACTTTTCAGACTGTGAACAATTCTGACTTGGTAAGTTTTTCTAGAACAGAGCATTTCACACCAAACCACTCTGAATGACTGTTTACATCTCAATGACAGATTTATGCAGAAACTTTCAATCAGTCAATCAGAAATCAGTTGAATTGCTCGTTAAGACTGTGAGTTTCTGCTATTTATTTGATTATTTGATATTTATTTGGTCTTTTTTTAGGTACACCTGCTTGTTTCTACACTCATTGTCTATTTTATCAGCTCCACTTACTATATAGGTGCACTTTGTAGTTCTACAATTACAGACTGTAGTCCATCAGTTTCTCTGCATACTTTGTTAGCCCCCTTTTACCCTGTTCTTCAGTGGTCAGGACCCCCACTGGACCACCACAGAGCAGATACTATTTGGGTGGTGGATCATTCTCAGCACCGCAGAAACACTGATGTGGTGATGGTGTGTTGGTGTGTGTTGCGCTGGTCTGAGCGGATCAGACACAGCAGAGCTGCTGGAGTTTTTAAACACCACCAACCAAAAATATTCAGCCAACAGCGTCCTGTGGGCAGCGTCCTGTGACCACTAGAGGTCTAGAGGATGACCAACACAAACTGTGCAGCAACAGATGAGCTGTCATCTCTGACTTTACATCTACAAGGTGGACTGTCAAGGTAGGAGTGTCTAATAGAGTGGACAGTGAGTAGACACAGTGTTTAAAAACTCCAGCAGCACTGCTGTGTCTGATCCACTCGTACCAGCACAACACACTCTAACACTCAGTGCTGAGAATGATCCACCAGCCAAATAATACCTGCTCTGTGGTGATCCTATGGGGGTCCTGACCATTGAAAAACAGGGTGAAAGGGGGCGAAGACAGTACACAGAGAAACAGATGGACTACAGTCTGTAATTGTAGAACTACAAGGTGCACCTATATATGGTAGTTGGAGCTGATACAATGGGCAATAAATGTAGATTCAAGAAAATTTCTGTAATAAAATGCTCACCGAGTGTACATTTTTAAAATAGTGGCTACTGGCAATGGACCATTCTATGTTTTATTATGTGATGACACAACTGTATGAAGACAGACTCATATGAAAAAGGCAATTAAGCAATAGTATTCATTATGAAGAGAAGGTTCCTGGGTGTGATCTTCTGGGTGTTGAGAAGGGAAATTTAATGAAGTTATACAAGTGCAGCACAGAAACGCAAAAACAGGGAAGGAAGCAAAAAGCCAATGCTGGAGTGTGTGTGTGTGTGTGTGTATGCAGTCTCCATGGATGAGCTGGCAAGGCAGTCTGATTTCCTGGCAGTGTGCTGTGCTCTGACTCCAGAGACTCAGGGCATCTGCAACAGGAATCTTTTCTCCAAGATGAAGAACACCTCCATCTTCATCAACACCAGCAGGTAGAACCAGCACTCTCTTTTCACACATGCACAGACTGAGAAAAATGAACCTGTTTACATGACCACTTAAATAATCAGAAAACTGCTGAAACTAATAATGATCATATTAGCGGAGTGCATGTCAACACATCCAATGTGAAGTTGGCTAAACAAGCAGCACAATCAGCCGTGATCAAAAGAAATTCTGGAAGAGATGAGAAAAAAAAGCTATTGAAATATATAAATATGAAAAGGGTTACAAACCATTTCTAAAGCTCTGGGACTCCAGTGAACCACAGTGAGATCCACCATCTCTGGAGACAGAGAAAACAGTCTACCAAAATTCCTCCAAGAGCGCAGTGCCGACTCATCCAGGACATCACAAAAGAACCCATCTGAATGATATAGAATTGGCAGTGATTTCAAAATTTGAAACAATTTTAAACAATTTTTGAACAATTTGTTTTAGGGGTGGAGTGGTAAACCAGGAAGATCTGTATGAAGCTTTGTCCACGGGACAGATCGCTGGAGCTGGACTAGACGTCACTGTGCCAGAACCACTGCCCACCAGCCACCCCCTCTTCACACTCAAAAACTGCGGTGAGCTCCTGTGTGTGTGAACTGATCATGATGGGGATTTCCTGAAACAGTGGTCACTAATCCTGGTCCTGGAGATCTCCATTCATAGTACAACTGTTTTTTTTTTTTTAAACTGTCTGAAATTTTTACTGACAATCCTGCTGTGTGTGTGTGTGTTTAGTGATCCTACCCCACATCGCGAGTGCCTCCTACACTACACGGAATGCCATGTCTGCTCTCGCCGCCAATAATTTGCTTGCCGGACTCCGAGGAGAACCCATGCCCAAAGAACTTCAACTCTGAAACCTCTATTGTAGAACTCATGCCTAATATATTGCAACCCTACAGCCTGAACCTCTGAAGCCATGCCGAAATTTCAACTTTGTAATGTAGGAAAGATTTGTCAGGAACTACAGCTGTAAAGGCCAAAGAAGATCAGTGAAATAACAGAAAAAATGTTATTTTGATCATGTATGAGTGTAGACAAGACCAATGTCTTTATCTTTGGAAAAACGTTTAGATTAATATTAGATTTAAATCACATACCACGATATTAGCATAAACTAGAGCCCCAGCTTAAAACTGCTTTGATAAAGTTTTCTATCTTGCTAATGCTAGCCAGATATCAGTTTGGTTTTTCTAGCTAGTTTAGCTTAACAAAGTCCACAAAGCTAGGTTAGCACTAGCTAGCTGTAACCTTTATGTTATTAGCAACCAGCTATTCTATAATGCTATTAGTAACTCAGCTAGTGTTAGCGCTAGCCTAGCTAAAGGTACTGTTGTTTGGGCAGCATTTCCATGGCTGATGATTGCATCATGGTGAATCGCTTCTAACCCTGAAGGACAGCAGAGGAGGGAGGCATGTCAAAGGGTCCTTAAAGAATAATTCAACTCTTGAACTCTTGTTTTTAAGAACTGCAGCTCTTATCTGCATTATGAAATTAACAGACCAGTGAAATAGAGGTCTTTGGGACAGAAGGTCAAAGTAAGAGATCAATGATCTACACAGAACAAACTCAACAGAAGCCTTCGCAGGCATGTTACACCTTAACCTGTTGGACTGACTGATAATACAAAATCTTTGATTTGATTTGATTCATTAAATATGTTACATGTAGGATTTGTGAAACATTTAGATTACATTTAATGAATAAAAGCATAAATCAGTTTACAGCATAAAATAATGTTCATCTTCCATCTGGCTGTTTTTTTTTAAGTTTTGGCTCTGGTCTTTTCTTAATTTTAGTGCAAAGAATATGCCAGTATTTGTGTTATCATTAAAACATGAAAAGGTATCTGTACAGCCTTAAATACTCACGTAACAGTCATGAAAGATGCAGCAAGTGTTGAACTACTAGAGACAACTGTGCATTACAAGAAGGAAGAACCAACCAGGAATGTATTAACAGCTGTTTTAATTCAGAGCTACATCTTTAATTGGTTTCTTAACAGATTAAAAACCATTATTATTTCTACAGTATGACAATGATACAGTAAGTGCACAAGAACCAATCAAAACTCCATTTCTTTTGACTTTTCTAGGCCTGTGTCCCACAGCTTAAAAGCTCTTAAGGCAATCATTGTATTTGTATTGTCGCTCAGCAGGAATTGGTCAATTTCTTTTTACACCCCATTTCTCTTTTCCTCATTGTCCTTCTTTACGCTCACAAAAAATGCTGATTATTCAAGTCTAATTCTTAGCAGTTTCTTGGGACATTAAGGTCCTTTCAGGTACTTCAGATTCAGGTTTTTGCATAAAAAAGTAACTGACAGTACATGTTAAATGACAACATAGGAAAGTCAGCAACATAGACTAAAAATATAAATATAAAAACGCAAACTGTGATCAGGTGAGTGCTAATATTTCATGTTAACATGTTAATTGCACACTTCTGATTTAGTATGTTTACAGTGCATTAAAAGCAAAAACCCATTATATAGGCAAGATATGGATTTTTCTAATAAAAATAACATGGAAAGCAAGAACAATTTTATTGAAATGCTTGAAAATCCTTAGAAAAGAAGCTTATCAGTAAGCTGGTATGTGTTAATGCAAGTAGCCTCTAAACCAGGACAATGTAATGACCAGAGACTGAGCACAAAGTCCATTAAACTCTTTTTAGCCTGAACAAAGATGAGTTTTCTATGACAAAATGCGTTGTACAGTTCTTTTTCTGAAACCTGTAAACAGAAAGTGTTGCGCGCCCTTGTTCCAAACGGCTAAAGGAAAGATTCTGTCAGTAATGCTAGTGTTGCTAACAAAAATGGAAGCTAGAAACCACCAGTTAGCTAAGTTCACATTTTTGGCTATTCATTTTCCCTGTTAGCAACATTAGCATTACTGACAGAAGCATTACCTTACATTTAGATTTACATCTTTTATCTCCATTTAAATCTCCTTTCTGAACACTTTTCCCCTCATACAGCTGTACAACCATGAGCTCATGATTAGCATATAAGACTAGCACGCTGGTATAAGACTACTATAACAGCATTTAAGAAAAGGACTCGACGACTGGAGCATTTACACCACAAAACACAGTTCAAACCTGTAAGATCTGTTTATCTACTCTTGTCGCTTGAAAGTTTTTTTTCTTCTGTCTCTTGCGGAGAAATGAAGTTAAAGCCACAAAGGTTGAAGGTGCAATATTTACACTGTGGCGTGCGTTTCTTTCTTTTTCTTTCAGCCCTTAAAAATGAATGACCGCTTGCACACTGGCCTCACACATTCACGGACACAAACCGCACGTACGCTCAACAATAGCCTGTTGGAAACGGTTCTAAATAACTGACCCAATACCAAAATGTACTACGACATAAGAACAGCTCTCTGTCCCACTGCACAGCAATTACAATAGTTTCTCTCCAGACCAAGGATGTCCTGAACTACTTCTTTGGTCTCCAATGCCAGCTAATATTCAGTATCGGCTGATACAGAGCGTCATTTGATATTTCTGCCTTTGCAGGTCATACAGTCACAAAGTGCACACTTCATTTAAGTTAGCAAAACCAATCCAGGTTAGGTACGATACGCTGGGCTGCCAGTCAAATGCTACAGAAAATAACGGCAGTGTGACACTGATACCAATGACACACTGAACCAATGTTTTTTAATTAACACCCAATTTTTCCTCTTAAATTCAGTACATTTTTATGCGTTATCTAGATCTCCCTTTACTCCAAACTGCCAATTCTGTTATGTCAGCTAACAGACGCCCACGTTGGCATCACATACCCACCTCACACTGGGGATTGAATTTGTGATCTGAAGACAGGGCCAATGCTTAAAACAGCTGTGCCACTCAGAAGCCCATCATAACATAGCAGTAATGAATGCTTATGACCACATAAAGTCATCTGACTAATCTAAAAACTTACTCAGACCGCAAGTCTCGATTCTGAGGTGAATCAAGAGTCAGATATGGGTGAGTGCGAGTCGAGTTCTGAGTCAGTCGATGTGCAACTCAAGTCCAAGTTGGGTTCCCATTTCTGCCTTAATGGATCCAAGCTAGGCAGGCCTTAAAGCTAAAGGCTTACCTATCCATTAAAATATGGCTCCAGCGGCTCCGATACCGCATTTCACATCGGATCGGGACATCCCTAGTCCAGACAGAAGAGAACAATACAGTTAAACACTACAAACAACAGACAACAATCAACAAGCAGGATCCAACTGTTCTAGGTACAGAGAACGCAACCAGGCTATTTTGTTGAGGCTGGATTTTTACTACCGCTACCAGGTTTTTAACCACCATTTCATAGGTGCCTTCAATTAAAAGGCAGGAAGGAAACTGTCAAGAATCTGTTACGATTCTCTTTTGTGATCTTCTCTTTAACCAAATCCTTATTAAGGGTGCAGGGCTACAGCCACAGATCATCTACTGGTGCTTCCAAAAACTTAATCTTGTTCACGAAAGAAGACATGGCAAGAAGCTCATTGCTTGAGTTTTAATGTCCTCTTCAACTCTCTATCATTGAACCTGAAGTGCACTCTTAGAGTGAAGGTATTTATGAAGATCTTCCCTCATCCTCTTTGTAGGTACTCTGTTAACTCAATCTCGTCTCCAGAAACAGCCCATCGTCGTTCTTCAGGAGGTATCTAGCGCTTACTGTACTCAGTAGTCTCGATTCCAACAGGGGGTCCCGGGGGATCTGCATCTTAGGTAACTTCAACCGATCAGTCACTTTATCAAGTACACCTTGTTTCTACACTCATTGTCCATTTTATCAGCTCCACTTACTATATAGAGGCATTTGTAGTTCTACAGTTACAGACTGTAGTCCATCTGTTTCTCTGCACACTTTGTTAGCCCCCTTTCGCCCTGCTCTTCAATGGTCAGGACCACAACAGAGCAGGTATTATTTGGGTGGGGCGTTCATTCTAAGCACTGTAATGACACTGATGTGGTGGTGGTGTGTTAGCGTGTGTTGCGCTGGTCTGAGTGGATCAGACACAGCAGTGCTGCTGGAGTTTTTAAACACCTCAGTGTCACTGCTGGACTGAGAACAGTCCACCAACCAAAAATATCCAGCCAACAACGTCCTGTGGGCAGCATCCAGTGACCACTGATGAAGGACTAGAGGATGACCAACACAAACTGTGCAGCAACAGAGGAGCTACTGTCTCTGACTTTACATCTACAAGGTGGACCAACAAGGTAGGAGTGTCTAATAGAATTGACAGCAAGTGGACACAGTGTTTAAAAACTACAACCACCACTGTCTCTGATCCACTCGTACCAGCGCAACACACACTGGAGGGCCAAAACATTTTATATCTTTACCAACAGCCAATACAATATATCTATCTAGATCTGAACTGACCATGAAGAGGCCTTGCCAACAAGCGACATGGCTTAAGAACCTGATGTAACCTCCTCACCCTTTTACCAGCTCATGGATCTGATCAGCCTTTACTTATCACTGTAAAACACCGTTTAACATTATTAATGTTCCTATATTTCTATTTACATTGTTAAATTCAGCCTTGTGCACCTATAAAGGCTAATATTTCTCAAAATGATCTATAGGCTGGTTGGAACAAATTCTGACTCAGATCACAGAAAAGAGACACTTATCTCAACTGGAAATGTATTACAAATATCAACAGCATTAGTTGCTACAGTACTGGCAAACAGGCTTATGTGTCTGCACTTAAGAACTGTGTGTGGGTAGAAGTTGGTTAGTTACTGTTTTGGCACTATATACAGACATTATGAACCTTCAAGCATGTGGTTGTGTACAGCTGTATGCAAAAGTTTGAACACCCCTGGTCAAATCACATGGTTCTGTTGATTTTCTAAGTGAAAATAAGTTAGCACACCCTCTACATGGAACAAATACGACATTTTTCCCCAAAAAGTTCATTCATCTAAAATCATAAAATACAAAATTTGCCATAACCATGTTTTATATTCTACTAATGTTAAATTCAGTAAATAAACAGTAACTGTGTAACAAATGTTCAGTGTGTCCAAACTTTTGCATATGACTGTGTATGTTTTGCCATTGGTATTTTCAGCTCTTTTACAGTACAGCATGAACTAGAGGTGGGCGATATTCACTTTCCAAAAGTGTCTATAGACGCCCCAAATAGAAACAAAAACCGCTAAGCAGTTTACCTTAAGCACTGTAGGTTTCTCACTCGAGGCCTGATGGCAAGAGACAACTTTAGAAAGCTTAGAATTACATTTGAGACATTGGAAAATAAACACGGCACTGATCTGAAACCAGGTATTGGTATTAGGCTGATATCAGGAGAATGGTTTGGGTTTTGGAGGGAAAATAAAGAATGAATCTGATCTAGTTCTGTAACAAATCTATCCTGAAATAGCACATATGCACATTGTGTGATGCGACGATGTTAGCTGTTTATTTCTTCCTGCGGAGTAGCAGAGTGTGTGAGCAGTTTGAGCAAGATAGCCTACTTTTAGATGATCATCTGAAGTGAAGTACCTCAACTAAAAATAGCTCATTTTAAAGTGTAGTAGTTTTTAACAGAAGAACTATCACATAGGCACTGGTATTATCTGATACTGAAGGTTTCAGTATCGGCATCAGTATCAGAAAAGTGGTACCATCTCTATTAGAAAGCTATTTAACTGATCTGAAGGAAGCTTAGATTTCAGCAACATGTAACACGCTTGTTTAGGCTGCACCATGTAAGATGTTTTTGTCAAAACTGAAGGAAGTAACATGGTGCGTGTGCGCAGTGACATCTGCCATAGAAATAATCAGTATAGCTGCTGCACTAATAATTTGAGTGAAAGGGTGTTCATGAAGGCCTGGCTGTGTTCAACACACGGCAAAGTTGTCAATCATTGCCTCAAAGCAAAAAATATTATTGATCCTGGTTACTGACATTACAAAAATATTAACAAATATCGCCCAAGTCTAGTGTGGATGACAGTGTTTGCATGCTAAAGCAGGCTACTAGGCACATATTTGTTTTGCTGCCCTAGACATGCTATGCTGGATGTGCATGTGTTTTAGTTAAGCCTTTAAACCGCACTTCAATTAACCCATACATGCTCCACACCCTGTGTATGCTAACAGCATGATTTTCAACACTCATACAAAATATAATTTGAAACCAAAAACTTTGTCTTTTGACTAGAACTGAACTGTGTGCAACAATTTCATATTCTGTTAAATGAGGATTTTGTCAACATTCTGTAATGCTTGGCAAATCCTGATACAGTAGCTATGAAAGAATGCATGTGTGGGTGGAATATGTATCGGTCAATCCCTCACTATCATAACTATGTAACCTACAGTACTGCGCAAAAGTCAGAGATCACCTTTATTCATTTCATTTGCAGTCAAAACGACCACCAGATTATTCAGTTTTCAGGAGATATTTCTGAGAAAGGGGAAAGTCAAATGACAATAAGTCAAGAAACAGGAGTTTACAAACCAGTAGTTTACGTATGATTAAAAGATACAGCAAAAATGCACCAGTTTTAAACTATCAAACTGTTTCCGTCAGATAAACAGCACTTATAGCTTTCATCTTTGAGAGGTGTGTGTGTGTGTGTGTGTGTGTGTATTAGAGATGAAACGATTACCGGTTTCACGGTAACCCGCGGTAAAATTAATGACGGTTAGTAGTACCGTTTGAACTTTAAAGTATCGTTAAAACCGCGGTCGATTACCGCGGTGTGAAAAACTCGGAGATTCGGAGATATTTCAGCCTTCTAAGAAGACCAAGTCTGACGTTTGGTCATATTTGGGTTTTATAAGGATGCAGAAGGAAAGTTAATTGAAGATGACCACCCTGTCTGCAGAACAGGCCGAAAGAAAATAGCGGCGAAAGGGGGCAACACATCAAACTTTACGAGTCATTTCGCGACCACCACCCGCTACTTTTTAGAGAATGCAAGGTTAACTTTAACGTAGAAGTCTGTGGGGACTTCGAAATAGAAGAAATGTCACGGTTTGTGTGGTTTAACTTTTGCTTATGGTTCGTTAATAATGTTAAATGAAGCTTTTAGCGTCAAAAAAAAGAAAAACAATCGGTGAATCAACTGTGAATCGAAACTAAAGCTTTTAACACATTTCTGTGGAGCAGAGTCTCCAAAATGAGCTCTGAGTTAACAGTCACACGAGCTCCGGAACGAGACGCTGCAGAGGTTCAATCTGCACAGCTCCCTTTTCTCGTCTCGCTTGTTGTTTACTGTCTGAGGATAACACCGACAGTGTTTACTGTCTGAGGATAACACCGTCTCAAATCACTCAGTGTCCCCTACAGAGGGCGCTACTGTTCAAACAAACACGATCATCATTAACAAGCAGTTGAGTTTTAAATAGGGACCTGTTGTTAATGTTGATTATAGATGACTTAGTCGAACATTTCTTGCACTCTTTGGGTGAAGGATTTGCTATTTCATGATCCACAAAGTGCACTAGGGAATAGGGAAGGTAGTGTGCTTTGAGACGGGGCCTTGCGCGAGTAAATGCTGCGTGCTGCTTTTAGGAAAAGTTTCAGAGATTAAACTTCAGGAGTGTTTCTGCCGCAGCTCAGATGCGCGTTAATTTTAAGTTATGTTTTAGTTTTTAATGCTTTTGGAGAAGCAGCTCCACAGGTGAAGACACGCTGTGTGAGTTCTACACTGTCTGCAGCTCACAGCGCGGTCACGCAATTCCTCTGTGATTTTGGCTGTTTTTCCTGGTGCGCTGTGTTGATTAGGGGTTCAGCGCCACAACGGCACAATAATGCTGCAGTTGCAGTTCAGACAGAAATCCCCCGAGTGCAACACTTCTTAGAAGTAGTAATTTTCCATTAAGAACCCACCTCAGAGTTGGTCGAGATTTAATTCTCTATGCAGGGAAATCCCTAATTATTGTAATTAATAATAGTAATAATAATAATAATAAGAAGAAGAAGAAGAAGAAGAAGAAAAAGAAAAATAACAGTAATAATAACAATAATAATAATAATAATAATAACTGTAATAATAATACATTTGCTATTCTTTTGTTTACAGAGTATTACAAGTATTGTAAGTAATACAAAAGTAGTACTAAAAATGTATTGACCTTATTAAAATAAAATTTGGTGAAACGAGTTTCAGTTTGTGTATCAGTATTTATTTTTTTATTTATTTTACTTTTCAAAACATTTGAACAATATTGCGATAATACCGATAATCGTGATAATTTTGGTCATGATAATCGTGATATGAAATTTTAATATCGTTTCATCTCTAGTGTGTGTGTATATATATATATATATATATATATATATAATTAAACAAAAAAGAAAAAATGAACTGACCAGAGTCCAGACATTTAATGTGTTTGCAATTACTTGGATAATGAGAAGCAGAAAATCTCCTAAGACTGAACTCTGGAGGTGTGGAAAAATATCCCTGCAGATTTCTTTCAAAAACTGAAAGCAAGAATGGAAGCTGTAAATGCAAAGGCTGGACACACTAAATACTGAAAAACTCATATTTAGTTATTGATGCTTTTGTGTTATTTTTTGTTAAATAATGTTTTCTGCTTTATTTTCTGACCCTGAAAATGAATAACTTGTACTTAATGGCCGTATCTGACTGGAAACTATATAAACAAAAAAGTGGTCTCTGACTTTTCGCACAGTTCATATTAGTTTCATAGCACTTCAGGAAAATTCAGCGTACTTAATAAATAACAAGCTGCAAGTTTAATAACGGAATAATAAGCCTTGAGCTAAAGACTTAAAGAAGGGTATTTGACATGTTAGCACTCTGCCATCTGAGGCAGGTTGTTTTTGAATGCTTGTACAGGTGACTAGACTGACTAAAGCGCTTGCCACACTTCAGACAAGCATACGGCTTCTCTCCCGTGTGAACTCGGATGTGTTTCTTGCAGTCTGTTAGCGTCAGGAAGGTTTTACAGCAGATCTTGCAGGCGTACTTTCGCGCCCCCTCCACCACCAGAACATTATGTTCTGAGAGCGCCTTCTTGCACTTGGACAGCACGTCCGCAGAAGCCCGGGTCAACTGGGGCGGTGGATTAAAATTTGCGTTGTTTCCGTGTTGTCCTCCCGGTACTGAGCCATCAAAGCTAATGCCATTTAGCAATGCTGACGAAGACGAGGCAACATCTTGCATATTACCACCATCTGTGCGCACTGAAGTGCCCCCTGGTGTAACCTTAGGGGCAATGCGTCTATAAGCAGGAAACCCACTGGTGCCACCTCGGGACAATCGTGGAAGGGCGTGCAAGCCCAAGCTGTTCCTTTGGAATGAAAGCGTGAGCTGTTCTGCTGTTCCACCTCGAGAGTTCACCAAGGAGGAAGATGACGATGACGCTATTCCATCATGGAACGGACGCAAGACAAGAGCATCTGCGGACAGGCCGGAGACATCCTGAGCTTCTCCAGAAAGCAGGTTCTGAGAAGGAGGGAGGGTGGATGACGTGCTGGTCGAATCCGATCCGAAAATGAAGCGAGTGGGCTCGCGATCCAACCGGCACTCTCCTGTGGTAGTGTTTGGAACATTTTCAGCTGGATTTGAAGATGATGCACTGCATTCAAAGCCCTTAGTGCTTAGGAAGCTGGAGATTCGGAATCCGGAGGTGGACTCCAGAGCCTCACTGCAAGAGAGCTCCTCTCTCCCCACTCCTCCTCTTTCTAATCCTCCGGCAGGGCCCTTGCTTCCTGTGAGGAGCAGGTCGGCACACGGCTGGGGCTCACTGAAGCTATGCTCGCTGCCCTCTGGACTCAGTTCCAGCTTCTCACCCACTGCCTCCACCTGAGGATATGAAATGACCACAGCCTAAATATGGACAAAATTCTGACATCAAGTAAATTCACCTCGAATCACCTATTTCAGCTCTCCTTAATACTTTTGCTAAATAATGCCATTGCGCCCAAAAGATAGCATGCAAAATTCTAGGCTTGAATCTTTAGTTTTTTGAAATCTTCAAAAAAAAAATTAATTCCTGACACAGCAGTTACTGTTACAATGATGACAATTACCTGGTCGCTGCCCTCAGCCTGCGAGGTTACATCACTGGTCTCGTCGACAGGCTCAGGTGAGCTGAGTGGTTCGCTTTTCACCACCACCTGCTGTGCCTCTTCATCCTCGGCTCCATCCTTCACCTGCACTCCCTCACCATGGACACGCCCTGTATCTGGATACTCTTCTTTGTGTGGCAACAGCAAGGGCTGCTCCACCCTGCTTACTCTCCCGCCATCTGATTGACTGGGCAGCTGCACATCCTCCTGACCCATGGACCTTCGGTAGTCTCTTCCTTCTAGCAAATCACTGTCGTCACTAGCAACCACGCCAGCAACCACATCCAGTTTGGTATCCTCATCTGTGACTTTATTGTGAGAATCTGGGGAAAGAAGCTCCTCCCCTACAGCTCCTCCTACCCCTTCCATCATAGTCCCCTCAGACTGTGAAGAGAGGCGGGGCCTCTGCCGCAAGCGTTCTGCCTCAGAGCGAATCAGAGAAAAGGCCTGTTTGCGCTTATGGAAGCGACGTGAGGGGTAACTGTCTCGCTGCTCTACCAACCCACTTCCTGAAACTGATCCCGGCCCTCTGCCAGCTCCACTCCCTTCTTCTGCTCCGCTGAGGGCAGAGCTTACTAGGCTCAACCCAAGCTGCTGCAGCAGAAAAGAGCGCTGGAGGCGAGAGTTAGCCGCAGCAGCAGCCTGACTACCCGGGTGCTGGCTGCCGCGCTCACCAGGTGGCGACATGGGCAGCGTCCGAGTGGTCAAGTAGTGCTTACAAGCCTTTACTACTGTATTTAGATGCAAGTGTGACGCAGCTAGCAGCACGTCCATGACGTTACTCTCTCCTAGCATCAATGTGGAGGTGTACATCATGTCCACAAGGGCTGCGAAGGCCTCAGCAGTCACCACCTCAGAGTCCAACTGGATCATGCTCATGCTGGCTTCGCTCTCTGCAACGGTGAACAAAGCACGAAAGTGCGTGCTGCAGGCGGCCAGCACAGCACGGTGCGCCTTAAAATGACGGTTACCCACCACAATCACACAGTCACACAGCTGGCCATGGACCCGCTGGTAGTTCAGCTGCTGGAAGATCTGCTCAAAGTGCCCAGGAAAGTCCATGATCTGAAGGGTATAAAAAGTGCATGCTCAACATTAGGGCCTGACTGGTATATACCATATATATCTCGATAGAAAGGAGCTACAAATTAGATTGAGTGGTAATATCTGCTGGTAGCCGTGTTTTTGGGCACTATGAAGTAGACCACTTTGTTTTCGAGTCAGCAGACATAAGGAAATGGTGCATCTTATAGGGGTATCCTAAGTCTAACATTGACCCAGCACGCTTCTGCTTCCTCTCATACCGCCTGTACAGGTGCCAGTATGTTAGTGCTGCTCCATTTAAGGTGGAATGGAAGATTTGAACAAAAACTTGGAGAATAAGAAGCCAACTTTACCCTTGTATGAATTAAAACTGGTGTTAGAAAGCAATATTGACATAGGTTTATCTATATATTGTTCAGTTTTATTTTTATTATTTTGTACAATAATATTTCACATTTACTCTGTTTGTTAAAAACGGTTGTTATTAAAATTTGAACAGACTTCCTAGAATAATAAGCCAAAATAGGTTTACTTAAGCATCTTAAAAGGTTTCATTTAAATATATATATATATATATATATATATATATATATATTCTGTTATGGTTATGACAAAACTCAAACCTTAGAATGAATCTAACAGTACACTGGATGAACTAGTGTATTGCCCACTAATTGCGGGTATAATTTAATGGTAAGAAATTAAACAGATAATTAAAATGGTATAAAGTCTTGAGAGCTCAAGCTCTTAGATAACACAGAAAAAGTGAGCAAATCCTCTGATACTATCTGAAAATAGAATTTGTATAGGTGTACATGAAAGCTATCAATAGAGCTGCACTGAGCATTACAACTGTTCACGAATTCCAAGGCTTCACTTGTATCATGACAAAATTGTTATTTAAGATTTCTCCAGTATCTCAAGACATGCCTATTTGCACCATACAGGGGTACTGCAGAAGTCTCTCATGAGATTTTACAGTTTAAAGACTACAAACATTTCCTGTTCTTTCTAAGCATTAAGATGAAAAGCAATGACAAATTTGTGCATGTAAGCACAGTGTTTTCATGCCTTACTAATAAAATATATACATCCATTAGCCATAATATTAAACCTCCTCATAACTACACTCATTGTCCATTTTATCAGCTCCACTTAACATATAGAAGCACTGTGTAGTCCATCTGTTTCTCTATACTTTGTTAGTTCCCTTTTACCCTGTTCTTTAATGGTCAGGACAACCACAGGACCACCATAGCACAGGTATTACTTGGGTGAGGGACGTGGTGGTGGCTTGTTAAAGTGTATGGACATAGTGGTTAAAGACGAGAGCAGCACTGCTGTGCCTGATCCACTCGCACCAGCACAACACACACTAACACACCACCACCACCACATCAATGTCAATGAGGTGCTGAGAATGATCCACTACCCAAATAATACCTACTCTGTGGTGATCCTGACCATTGAAGAACAGGGTGAAAGAGGCTAAGAAAGTATGAAGAGAAGAACTGGCATCTGTAATTGCAGAAATACAAAGTGCACCTATATGGTAGGTGGAGCCACTAAAATGGTCAATGAGTTTAGAAACAAGGATGTGGTGTTAATGTTGTGGCTGATCGGTGTAGAATAAAATAATACGTCTAAAATCCACTCAGTAATCCTGATGCATCCATGACAAAGGAAACAGAAGCTGTACAACAGAGACAAAAAACCGAATTACTGAATACTTCTGAATGCCCAGACTTCTGTTTAAAAGTATTAGTAGCTGTTTTAATACAGGTGTCAGATGCCGGTGCTATCTTGAATCTAAACTGGGTAGCGATAACTGTTTTCAGTGTCGACCGCTGCTTTCACGTATTCAACCAGCTAAAGTGTCCAAATACACAGCGTTATCGATCAGGTTGCTGGGTTGGGTTACCTAGCAACACGACCTCGCATCACCCTAGGCAACAACTTTGAGTAACGAGACAAGCCAGTTAACGTTAGCTTAATAGCTAGGTTAGCTAGCTAGCTAACTAACCTGGTTAAATACGTATTTCCACTCAACATACGGACATCTAGGTGGCGCAAACGAAACAACGCTACTAATAATAAACAGTAACTGGTGTTTATTTTCACATTTGTAATGTTATAAAACTACTAAAATCAGTTATGAGGCTGAAGTTAGCTTCCTATTTGCCAGCTTCTTGTTCGAATTTTCCCGTTCCACCTTAAATGGTTCATCAGTTATATTCTGGCGCCTGCATTTAAGGTGGAACGAGAAAATTCGAACAAGAAGCTGGTGAATGAGCTGACTTTAGCTTCGTTAGCTAGCTGACGTTACCTGAAGCTTACCTTTGCGTGCATATAGCTAATAACCGCAGGCTCGTTCCGTCGTCCCGCTAGTTAGCCTGTCAGCTAACGTTAGTAAACTCACAGAGAGCGCAGACTAGCCAGTAAATACACACAGATAAAGGCTCACAAACGAGGGAATGTCAACTCCTTCATCACACAGTAGCTCGTGAATCATCGTTTATGTAAAGTCCCAGAAGAAAACGGCCAGCAAATCCCCATTGTGAGTGCACGGCGATGTATCCGTTAGCGAAAGCTAGTTAGCTACGTGTTGGGTTGCCAGACACCGCTGACCAAATCCCCGGACCGAAGCGGAATCCCCTCCAGTTCCTGCCAGTTTTCAAAAAATCCCCCCTCTGAGCACAGTCATTTCTGAGCTGAGCTTGGTGTGTTAGATCAGGGGCGTCCAGTCTTTTCCGCAAAGGGCCGGTGTGGCTGGAGGGTTTCACTCCAACAAATCAGGAAGTCACTTGACGAAATGTTTGAAGACTAAGACCAACTGATTAAACAAGTAGAGTCAGGTGTGCTCCAGCTTGTTTGGAGTGAAAACCTGTAGCCACACTGGCCCTTTGCGGATAAGACTGGACACCCCTGTGTTAGACTAGGAAAACATTAAGGGATTCCTTGGCCAGGACTAAGAACCATATTCTGCTATTTCGAAGTCAACCTGAAATCAAAATGGACATTTTTTTACCTCGTTACTTCATGTCTTTGGTCACATTAAGCACAATCGATTGTGTCATATCACTTAAAAGACAAAGTTCTTGTTTCTCTGTAATCTTTTATCAAAGTCTAGTAATTTCCACCCACCTCTAAATGGACTCTGACCTTTCGTTGCCTCAACCAACCAATGATATCTTAGCATTTTCCCTCCCCCTCCCATCACCCTGACCAATCATCAGTGAGAACACCCATCATCATCATCATCATATAGAACTTTCCAATGAGCACCTGATCGCAGTGTAACCCAGCAAACACACAACACTGTCACAACGTTGTCTATTTTCTTACAACATTGCTAAAATGTTGTCAAAAGGTGGTGCTGTTCACGTTGGCTGAATAAGGTCGTCACAACATTGTCACAACCTCATTCTTCAGTAACGTTGCCGTATGGTGTTATGACTACCTGTTGGCAACTTTCCATGCACAACATAATGGAACTTATGAGGATTCTAGGATATTCTAACATACAACTTACAAGGAATTAAATTTCAACGTTCAACAACAACGTTGTGGGCATCAAACAATAGGTTGTCACAACGTAACTGTGTTTGCAGGGAATTCTAGTGTGAATAGAGCCCATTCACACTGAAGTTACAAGGAGTGTTTCATCCCTTGTTGAATTAGGCACAATACAGGGACAGCCAATCAGAACAGGGTTCATTTACATATAGCATTTTTGAAGGTGAAGTAACAAAATCAGGCTGATTAATTCTAAAAGATTAAGAGAGGCTGAGAAATGATTGTGTAAAAATGAATTATGTTATTTGGTACATAAGACCACACATACATTATGTGTATATGTTTTGAAACTCAAAATAAAATAGGAGAAAAATATAGGATAAGGGCCATTTAAATCAAATTGTGACATAGATGGAAAATATATTATCTCTAATTCATACAGTCTATTGAAAGTGTCAAAGTTGGCCCACCAGAAAGTTGCCCCTACTCCCTCAGCCAGTGAGAAAACATTTAACTTTTAAACTTTTTAGCTTTTAATTTTCTTACATTTTAATGGTTCTAAATGATTTCTTGGTGTACTTTAGCAGACTATTACACTGCAGATTCATACTTTACATACGTAATACTAGCCATACACTAGAAGACTTCGAAAAGACTTTTAAAAGGCTGAAAGTCTGACACCCTCTCACATCTAAAGACAGAGTTTTTAGTCACACACTATGATTTTAGGAAGACTGGGGATCTTGCAGAGTCACTATTTGCAAGACTGCAACTAGATTTTTGAGATTATTTCCCATCATGTACCTGGTAGAAATTTACAAGCAGAGAAACCCTTTTCCTTCTCCACTCTGTAGTGGTACAAATGGGAAGACACGTTGGCTGGGCATGTAAAGACCTAGGGGTTTAGGCCAGTTCACTATAGAACTGTATACTGTCGCTGCCCAACAAAAACATGTATCCCAATTTTTGTTGATTTTCAATTTTCTACATAATTTCAACACACCAGCTCTGTGCTCAGAACCGTTCGGCCCTGCAGCGGAAAAGAGGCCAGGAAACCCTGTACCATGCTGTTGTACAGCATTTTCTTCCTCTGTGTCAGTCAAAGAGGGACCTGACCATGCTAGCAAGTCGAGTGCTTGGCCTTTGAGACATTTTTAAATTAAAGGTATTTCATTAACCTCAATACATAAAATATCCTGGGCCCTATTTTTTAATGTGTGTGCAAAGACTCCTGACACATCGCTTAGCTTAAGACATTTTGATGTTTTCATGACAGAGTGCTTTTTGATAATTACATGTCTTGTGCACCACTTGTTTCTTGAGGGCAGAAGAGTCTGTGCAAAGAAATGAGAGGTTCATGTAAATAAAGTAGCGCAAGGCGAGGATCACATCTGTGTTCAGTGCAGCATCCTGACTGCCTTGATACGGTAACTTTACATACTTCGCTACATTTTCAGAAGGTTCCACACTTTTAAGACTAGGTGAGAGGTTACCTACTACATAAACCCCAGTTCAGAAGAGCTTATATGATACTGAAAGACAGGTTCCTTTTGTTCATAATCCCTATAGATGGTATAAACCTTCTCCTGGCACTGAACAATCTTAGTTACTAAACCAAGACTGTCACTAATCCTGATGCATTTATCTTGATGAAAAGCAGGTGGTCTTTCTTCAACACTATTCTTCCTTCTAAATTGTCATCATTCACCAAAGAACGGTCCATTTCTGACAGTCACTGTATAACCTGTGAGAGAGGATGGTGTGGGGTTCTTATCATTTGTTTAATCTTCCCCAGGCAGTTTTCAAATGGAAACCTGGATATGAAGTCTAGATTTCCATGTTGTTTGACATATTCAGAAAGATGGGTTAGAACACTGTATCCAACTAGTAAGGTTTGAGCAAAGTCATTGAGAGTTATACACAGCGCTGAGCTTGAGAGGATGAAAACTGCAACAGACAACAACATAAAATTGTTGTACACTGGGGCTGACAACACGTCATGGAGAAGGACAGGACCAGTGTATAACAAAAACTGTTGAAATTCAGTTCCCTAGGCTGCCTAGCTAAATCCACAGGGCCCTGTAGACACCCATAAATCCAGTAATCTCCGCATGACACTGAGACAGACAAGGTGCATGTAATCATGTGGAAAGCATGCTGGTACCTGTATCCTTCAAAGGTGAACTTTTAATATGATGTTCCTCATCAGATATTAAGACGAAAGACAGTTCTGCGTGGGCAGTTGACTTCAGGAAAGGTTGTTCTGTGATTCACATAAACACCAACCTGGACACACTTATCACATCCTGAATAACCAGTGTAACCATGACTTTTCGGAAAAACGAATGTTTCCCATTGATTACAAATCCCTTGCTCAGCCCTTGCAACTCACTGACTAGATCGCTTAAATAGTCACTGAGAGATTATGGTTTTGATTTGCTGCAGAACAAAGCAATGACGACTTGCTCCTTAACACAACCCTGAAGTAATCCCAGAATTGGCCGAAACTGTCCTGAGGAACTTTGAAACAGTGGTAGATCATCTATGTTCAGTTGCAGTTTGAGTTCATGTCTATCTGGGACACGTGGCCAGATTTCTTCCATGGTTTTAGAGAAAGAGTTTAGAATGGCAAAGTGATGATAAGTACCACCAACTACATCTTGAATGTTATGTGAAGGTCTCATTTTTAGAAGCGTTGTGGCCTCCTTTAGTAATGAAGGACGATGACGCCTCAAGAAACCCAAAAAGGGCAGTGAAAGCCACTAAAGACACTGCATAACAGACTGCCCAATCACACAACGCCTCAGCAGGGAAGGACTGTCCTGGTCACCTCCATCATCTTCACTGTATTCCTCTTCGCTCTCTCACTATATTGTTGATTATCATAACATCTCGTTTATATGATCTGTAAAATGCCTTGGATACCAACCTTTTTATACATGAACTGTTAAAATTAACTTTAAGAAGCTGTTTTTACGCGGCCGCACTGTAACAGTATAAACTCAGCAGTGGTACCGACGACGTAAGCATATCTAGCTATGATTTTGACGAACTGATGAGGAGGTGAGGCATAAATGTTAATTCCCATCAAACATAATACACAACGACAAAAACCTACCGGTTTAACCCACATTAACCAATAGTTTTCCCATGATTTTCAAATAATAAAATGTACACCCTGTTTTTTTCTGGTGCTCACAGCTTTACATTAGTAACCAGGGAGCCAGTTCACCTTGTTTGTTTATGTATGTGTACAGTGCATTTAACGTCAGACGCAGTTTCCTTCTTCCTAATTAACAGTATAATCACTCGCATTTGGTGCCAAAACGCCTAATGACCAATTGTCTGCGTGTCCCCACGTAAAAAAATGCAAGCGTTGACAGATAAAGACGTAATTTCTTTACATGTACAAAAGTGAAATTTATTGCCGTCTAAAGGCCATGAAGATTTTACGCGTGCAGAAGTAAAATACTGACGTCTACAGGCAGCAAAATCTGACGTTTCTTACTCAACTCCTCCTCAAAAAGCCGAAGTGGCAAAGTGTCGCCTCTAGATGGCGATATTTTCTGATAAGAGCAAGTCCTGCCTTCGTGCACAAACTGGGAAAATGTGATTGAACTGTAAATGATTGTGAAAAATAAGTGGAATCACATGATTATTATCAACAGTTCTGCATTATAAATATTTTTTCTTTTTACCAGTTTTGTCTATTTTTGAAGAAGAAAAAACACTTTTGTTTTTCATACTCATGGAAAAGTTGGACTTTTACCTGTGGTGCAATTCATTCCTTCTACAGATTGTCTCTAGATTAAACTGCATGGTGGTCAGTGATAATGCTGAAGTAAAATAGCTAAAACTGGTAAACAATGTTTGCATTTTGTGTATTTCTGCCAAAACACAATACAAAACCATCACAAACCAACAAACACTTAATGGGTTCTATAGGTTTTATCAGCAGGGACATAAAAAAATGACTAAAATGGAGATACAAGGCTGTGCTCCCACAGTGACAGTGCTAAATAATCTGTTTCGTAATGCAGGAAAGTCTTTAGAGATGATTTTGGACTTGTGAGAATCATGGCGCACTGCTCATCGATGGCTTCTCAGGGAAAGTGACAAGTCGTAAGTGTACGTGTCTCTCAATACCGAATTCCCAGACAAAAAAAGCCCAGAACTGTCTCCCTTTTGTACAGTAACTGAGAAGTGCAAGCCCCCCATCCCATCCTCACAGGGTGCAGTTAGAACCCTCCTCAGGCTGCCTCTTTCCCATTCCTCTCTCATTAAACAGGGCACAGACTTTCCACTTGCCTTACTGTCTGACCCAGATTTCTATTGTACGTATAACTGGGTATCATCAGCATAATTATGAAAATGTATATTATGTTTCCTAACGACATCACCTAAAGGTAGCATGTGCAAAGAGAAAAGCAAAGGCCCTAAAATTGAACCTTGAGGGACTCCACAAGAAATGCCAAATCTTTTTGATAAATTTCCCAGATTCTGAGGTCCACACTGTGGACTCTCCTCTTCAGCTCAGCCCACAGGTTTTCTATGGGGCTTAAGTCAGGTGATTGGGGGGGCCAAGGCAAAACAGTAATTCTGTGGTGAGTCATTTTTGTGTTGATTTTTAGGCGTGCTTTGGATCATTTGGATCAACTATATAGTCAAGCATATTTCAACATATTTATGCACAATATGAATCAGTCTACTTTGGTAATACCACGTTAAACTGGGATATGGAATATGCTTCGTAAATAGAATAATTATGAGTATTAAGCACAGTTATCTTAAAATAAATAAATCAAAATTTACCTCGATACACGGCACCATCTTGAAAAAGCAGGAGAATAAGCCGAGTGCGCGTCTTGTAGTCTTGGAGGACAGATGTCTGATGATGTTGGCTCAATGTAGCCACAGCTAAGTGCTCAGCTCACTATGTTTGGGCACGTTTTACATACTCAAATTTAAAAAATTTCAAAATGTACCATTCACTCTGCAGTCTATCCAGTTTACATCACAAAACAACAACACATTTACATTTATCCTCCTGGTCAGCCCATTCCTACTGAAGTTTTAAGGAGTGTTTCAGCCTCAACTGCTTTTTGAATGAGGCACAGTACAGGACAGCCAATCAGAGCTCATTTACACATCAGTCTTAAAGGCACAGTAACAAAACAGCCTCTCTAATAGTAAAAGATAAAGAGAGGTTGGAAAATGAATGAACTGTTTTTGGTACATAGAACCATACAAATGTCCAAGGTGGACCTCAGGAAATGCTGTATAGTCTTAATGGAGGTAGTGGAGGAGATGCAGCCTTTTTGTATGGGAGAGAAAGTGAAATGGCACACTAGAACAGAGCTTTTCAATTATGGACAATTTATTCATCAACATCCCAATCTCACAAGTAACAAACAACTAACCTGCATACTTTCATTTAACCCACCGTTCAAAAAAACGCCATACACAAAAGTGAACACATGGATGGACTGTAACCCAAACAGCCAAAACATGAGTGTTCTTCTCTGAGCCACAGTGGTGTTCTTCGATCTCTTTAACACCAAAGACAGATCAGTTCTTCACATCATACACTCTCAAAAATAAAAGTGACTAAATGGTTCTTGGCTTGGCTGAACGGTTCTAGGAAAAACCTTTAAACTATAAAACGCTCCTTCAAACAACTTAATATCATCACAAACTATCCACTGAAAGGCTCTTGATGGATGTTCAGTTAGTTTGCTCCAAAGAACCTTTTGAAATCTGTACTTTTAAGAGTGTAATCAACAGAACACACTTTCAAAACCATCGTCTGAGGTAGAATTTAACGTACAAAAATAGTTTTCTTTCAATTTTTAAAATATTGAAAGGAAATTCATCACATTTTCAAAATTTCTGCTTAATTAAAAGATGGAAATAAAGTCATTTAGAGTGGTTTGACGTAAAATGATGCACTTTAGAGAAACGTAACGACTCCGAACTCTTGACAGTGGTGTCAATAGGAACCAGACGTCTCAAATTCAAGCTTCCCCATAGAAAGTTCTTGCATGACACAGGATACAAATATGCTGCCTGATGTCAGAGATATTGTTTTACAATAGTTTACAATATTTCTGACATACATTTGTGGTGTAAAGGCATTATAAGGCAAAACATTCCCCAAAGAAAACACTTTTTTTCAGATTCACCACTATTATCAACATTGCATTTAAATACTCAGAGGACATGTGTGGGTTCACTGGCCATTTTGGATAGTAAATAACATGGTTCAATTTTTGTGTTGTACACACTGAGTCTGTACATTTCTCTACAAAGAACCATTTCACATTAAACCACTCTGAATGACTTTGTTTACAACTCGACGATTGAATTATTTAAAAATCTTGAAAAATTGGTTGAATTCCCCTTCAAAGAAAAACATAAGACAGTTTTTCCACAGTAAGATTAAGACTGAGCCTCAATGGCTTTTATGGTCTCTCTTACTATGTAATGCAAACAGATATTAGTAAAGTATATGTCAAAAGAAAGAGTAAAAAAGTGTTTTAACATACCTTTACACAGTGTATAATGTAGTAGCACCTGATACAAATGACTGACCCAACACATAATAACCCATATAGAATATGCAATTAAATGCTTTGTTACTAGTGCAGTTCCACCTTTTTACCTAAACATTCTTGATGACTTTGCCTTTAACTGAGGCAGACATGCACAAATAGATGTTAAAGTCCCAGGGAGTAAAATACACAGTGTGTGTGTGTGCGTGTATGTATGTATGTATTTATTTATACTGTAGTCCATCTGTTTCTCTGCATACTTTGTTTGTCCCCTTTCACCTTGTTCTTCAATGGTCAGGACCCCCACAGGACCACCACAGAGCAGGTATTATCTGGGTGGTGGATCATTCTCAGCACTGCAGTAACACTGACGTGGTGGTGGTGTGTTAGTGTGTGTTGTGCTGGTCTGAGTGGATCAGACACAGCAGTGCTGCTGGAGTTTTTAAACACCTCAGTGTCACTGCTGGACTGTGTCCACGAGCCAAAAACATTGTCCTGTGACAATGATGAAGGACTGAAGGATGACCAGTGCAAATTGTGCAGCAGATGAGCTACTGTCTCTGACTTTACAAGGTGGACCAGCAAAGTAGAAGTGTCTTATAGAGTGGACATTGAGTGGACACAGTGTTTAAAAACTCCAGCAGCATTGCTGTGTCTGATCCACTCGTACCAGCACAACCCAAACTAACACACCATCAACACATGGACAATAGTAAAAGGCGGTTAATAAAGTGAAAACAGATGAGTGGATATGCCGTACTAGGAGGTCTGGGATTGCAGTATGCTTGCTAGGTTAGCTTTCGCTTGGTCTTTAGCTTTCTCGCCATACGTTTTCCTGACTCAGAGAGACAGCTGGGAAACACAGTTGTATTAAAGCTGTGTGGATGGGTGGAGCAACATCAGCCGTGTGATTATTAGGACACTACTTACTGGTGTTACCCAAAACTAGCACTGCTCAGTTTACTGTGTGAAAGGAGAATGTAGGCAAAATCCATTGGCCATTTAGTGGGCACTGGAAAGTTCTTCAAAGCACATACTTGCACAATACTGTGCATGTATTATTGTGTGTCCAAAAGAGCAAGATCAACCTACTTAGCAAGAAAACACAGATTTGGGCTCCCTGGGGCTTTAACTGCTGCTTAGCTATCAGTCTAGCTACGTAAACATTTCCCCCCTATTGCTGTGATGGAAGCTACACACAAAACACACACTTACAGAAAGAGCCATTACATAAGACCACTTGATGCTCATATGAATAAGACCTCAGTAGAGAAATTACAAGAACTCCAGAATGATTATTCCAGAGGACCCAAAACATTGTAATTACTTACATACACAAACTTACAAATTAGAGATTCTTTCCGAAAGCATTTATATTGTGGATTCTGTGAAGAATCCTGTAAACCTCCGTTCCCCCACAAGGGGGAGCCACACAAACAAAAATCAGCTCCAGTGGGGTAAACTTGGTCAACATATTGACATGCACCATTTGCATCCAACAATAAACTCAAAGTCTAAGCAAACGCTTCTGTAAACCAGCATGCTTTTAGTGATTCCTGTGTAAAGAGCAAGAACCTTAAATAAAGGTCTTATTTTGTTTTTCAGTCATGTTTATCACCATCAATACATATCTGGAGCATACTCTTTGATAATGGTTAAGATAAGAAAATGAAAAGAAAGACAGACTTGTATGAGTAGTCTGGCTAAAAATCTACACAAAGTCGCACTTAGCCTAAACACAGCCACTCCTGGGGTCCTGCGTTTACTTCTTTGGTTTGCACTGGAGCTACAAGGCTAATATAGCTAACAAGCAATGGAAGCTCAGCAATTAGCACTGTGTAAACGGCATGCTTGTAGGGACTGTTACATTTTGTACCTTTTTCTAGATAACAGTATATCCTACAGTGTTAGAAACCATTTAAGCAAGTCTAGGTTGCTAATTTATGCACATAAGCTTCCATTACTTGTTAGCTTCATTAGCCTTGTAGCTCCAGCGCAAAACTAAAGAAGCAAACTTAAATCTTAACATCAGGGCTGATCAACTCCATTTTGGAGTTACCAGAAAAGTGTTTTAATTTAGATTTTTAGCCAAACTATTCCTTCAAGAAAATTCTAGAAGCTTTGCATAGACCTCTGAAATCATATGGCATTCTATAGTTGGCATCATGCTCTTACTAAGGTGGTTTTGCCTTTGGAAAAATTAATAGTGTTTTCAAAAATGACTGAATTTGAGCTCTGTAGTAAACAAAAAGGTTCCAAAGCATGGACTTTTTCCCTGTGTAGCCTGCATGTAGCACATGGATAATGCTACATACAAGCTACAAGCAAGTTAACACTTGGGCACATTGACATGAGATTGCATAAAAGCAAGTCTCCTATTAAACACTATTACATGTATATCAACAACAACTGCTCAAACTATAGGCTATTATTGCTAAAGCAATTTAAATAGCACATTGAACAAAGCCTACTCATATGAGTAGGGAATTTAGGGGAGATTCTTTTCTTGTCAACTCAGCAAGAGCTAGCTTTAGCTTGCATGTAAAAAAAAGAAGGATTTCCACTCAACAAACACATTATTCAGTGAATCTTGTAACATTTGGAGGAAAAATGTACACAGGACAACATGTCTCAGGTTTAGAACATTTTTGTTTACCACAGGGCACGACAGCAGCCGTTTTCAAAAACAGCATTCATGTTATCTACAAAGAATTCAGCATAAAGCTGCTTTTCCTGACATGGGCATGACGCTGACTACAGAATAGTGCCTTCAGAGGTCAATGGATTTCAGGCAGCATATGCACTGGAACTACAGAACATCACCTCCATCTGTGTCCATCTCAAAGGTGGTCATACGCTGCTTACTTGGGTAATGAGACAATGTATATTGTCCCAAACATTCTGAAGGGACAGACTAACTCTAATTCTTCTAGTTAGCCTCCACTTTCGCTTTCCTGTTCACACTGCCTCAATGACAGTTTTGCAAAAAAAAAAAGTAATAATTTATATAATAATCTGAAATTTGCTTCTTTAGTTTGGTAATGGAACTATGAGGCCTATGTAGTTAACAAGTAACGGAAGCCTATACCTCACCAATTAGCACTGTGGAAATATGACGAACTTGCCTCAAACGGCGTGGAATCATTAAGTAATCTCAAATAGAGCTGCAAATGAGGTTTCCAGCACTGTATGACCTACTGTTATCTGTAACACAAAATTGAGCCTTCAAGATGGCTTATGTGATAACAAGCTGTGTGAGGCCAGTGTGATTATTTTGGGCTTGCTGTTTGCGCAGTGCTAATTGCTGGTGTATAAACTACCACTGCATGTTGCTGCATTAGCCTCGTATCTCCAGCATAAAACTAAATAAAGCGTTCAGTCACATATCCTGACTGAATAACTATATTTAGGCTAAGGGAAAAGTGTGTAAATTTGATTTTTGACCAAGCAATTTCTTTAATACTGCATTAAGAAGTGACTAGTAGCAATCCTGACAAATTTTCATTCCTCCCTTTAAGACAAGACATGTAAGACAATGACAAATACTGCAAATATGAAACAGAGAGAGTTTGACTGTAAACAAGTGTCTCATTATAGAGGATTCCAGGGTCTGAAGGCAGTAGAAATGGTGTAGGCAAAAAGCTGACACACAGACATATCACACTCCATCTGTATCCAGTCAGCTGGCGAGGATGTAAAACTTCTGACCCAATCCGTCTTCAAGGACTACGAGCAAAATCCTGATTGGTCTGACTAAGGCTGGATCTGGGCTCTGATTGGTCCGAGTGATGAACCCGGACTGGTGTGTTAAAACTTCGATCAGGGCCTTATTGGTCTGTAGTGAGCAGAAGCACATTCTGATTGGTCGGTTTAGTGAAGCAATTCGTCCATAGCTTGTTCAGAGAAGTATCTGGGCAACGTAGGGCGAGTGTGTGCTGGCTACTGCTGCAAGTAACGGAAGGTCACTGGACTCAATCCTATGAAACACACAAACACACAAAACATGAACACACCACACTGAAACAAATGTGAAATTTGCATGTGTACACATGTGTGGAGTTTGGGCAACCCTGGTCAATTTACATATTTTGTTGTTTTTTTTAAGTGAAAAGAGGAAAAATACTATCTGATGGGGAAAAAAAACGTTTATATTTGCTCAACTTAAAACAGAGAAAATAGCATTTGTGGCATGTGCAAAAGTTTGGACAACCTTTATTTGTAAAGTCTCAGAACATCAGTAACTTATGTTGCCTTGACTCATTAGGACTGCTTACCCAGGTCAAGAACAGACTATTCAAACCTTGTGCTAACACTCAACAAACATGGGCCTCCTCTACCCTGCTGGCTGAGGAACTGAAAATAAAGCTAACTGATGCATACAAATTAAGGGAAAACAAGATATCAAAGTGCTTCCAGCTCCAAAATGTCTTAAAGGGAACTGTGGAAGTCGAGACATGATCTACAAGACGTCTCAGGTAAAGCTGCTTGTGTGCTGATGAGAAAAAAGCAAAACCCCCATATGACCATACAGGACCTGCAGGAATGTTTAGCTGATACAAGAGTGGTGATGCACTGTTCTACTGTGCACTGCTGCCTGCACAAATATGATCTGCATGGAAGAGTTATCAAAAGTGAACCTTCCCTGCAACCTCATCACAAAGCCAACGTCTCAGGTTTTCAAAACAACATCTAGAAAAGCCAAAGGCATTTTGGAAACAAGTGCTGTGGACTGATGAAGTAAAAATGGAATTTTGTCCACATCACAAGTATGTTTGGAGAAAAAAAAGGAGTAGCATTTGATGAAAAGAACACCTTGCCAACTGTTAAACAACAGAGTGGATCTATTATGATTTGAGGTTGCATGACAGCCAGTGGCACAGCAAAGACTTCAGAGGTAGTGGGTGAAAATTCTTAAAACAAGACAATAAAAGACTCCTAGCTGGTTCATACTTACTTAGTGACTTATTTAGTGACTAACAAACTTTTGCACATACCACAATTATAATTTTTTGTTTTTTCCCCTTGAGAGCCTCCACTGTGGAATGTATTAAAAAATATTGATGTAATGTGATTATGATAAATTATCACAAAAGGATTGTCATATTGCCCACCCCTAAGAGGGAGAGAGAGTGTGTGTGTGTGTGTTGTACCCCAGTGCTAGTCCCAGCTCTTTCACATGGACTCTTCTCTGCCCTCTCAGATACTCTGCCAAAGAACAGCTCTTAAAATATATCTCCTGCAATCGATCCTCCAAGTGCATCACACACTGCAGAGCACAGACAGAAGTGAAAATTTAGGAAAGATTTGCATTAAAGAGATTTTGTTGGAAAATCAAATGTACAGAATTTTCACCCTTACACTGAATGTAGTCAATCAGCCACAATCAGCCTTAGTCTGAAGTTTGCTTCTTTAGTTTTAAGGTTGTTACACACTAAATGCTAATAACGACACAAATATATACGAACGCGTATGTTGAAAATAGTGAAAATAGAATGGACAGGTTCACCACCACATTCAGAAGCTACATGTGCTTTTATACACAGCTCTCATGTCCATAGTTCTGTCTGAGCTGCTTTTGGAGACGCCAGCACCACAAGTGACAAAGCAGAAGACAATTGTGAAGTTCTATTTGCTGAGATCAGTCATGCCTTCAACAGTGACCGGAAAAATCAAACAGAGGACAAATAATACAATGTTGCATATTCACTTTCAGAAAAATCACATTTTTCTGAAAGTGAATATGCAACATTTGTCAGCTACATCAGTCTCAGAGCTCCAGTGCAAAACTAAAGAAGGAAACTTCTTGGCTGATTTGTGGTAAGGAGGGAAAACTGGGAAATTTACTGTTGAACATTCCTTTTACTTTGAATATTTATAATTATTAAATAAACAGGTGCAAAAACATTGTGTGTGTGTGTGTGTAAGAGAGAAACGTACAAAGTCTGCTGCAATGTTGAGTGTGTGCAGCTGCAGAACAGACGTAAGGAGTGTGTGTATGAGATTGGAGACCATCACGTCTCTTCCAAGCCGCCCTGGCTCACACACACGCCGCTGGCTCGTGGCCACCTGAACACACAGCCGGTCTGTGTCCGCCACGATACACACTGCCTCTGCGACCGGCTCGTCCAGCGCGGGGTGCTGCGGGCACACATATATAAATAATCACTGTTAAGAGCAATGAAACAACAAGGCTTTGACTACTAACTACTAACAGTACAGTAGATTTCAGTCTCAGGTTTGTCTGTGTCTGCCCTGCACTGTTTTCCCTGCTCTAACAAGCAGCTGGTGAACCAGCTATTTTATGGAAGATATAACAGAGGTGGGAACAAGTCGCTGAGTTGCAAATAACAGCAAACCTCAAGTCTTGACACTCAGTCAAGTCCCAAGACAGGTCTTGAGTAAATATAGGCCCAAGTCGAGTCCCAAGTCAATATAGGCAATACAGGCTATACAGGCAGTCTCAATTTGAGCCTCGAGTTGAGTCCTGAGTCACTAAGGACAAGTCTCAAGTCAACAGAAGCAAGTCTCAAGTCAAGTCCTGAGTCAATACAGACAAGTCTCAAGTTGAATCTCGAGTCGGTACAGGCAAGTCTCAAGCTAAGTCCCAAGTCAATACAGAGAAGTTGAGTCTCGAGTCAGTATAGGCAAGTCTCAAGTCAAGTCTTGAGACAGTACAGGCAGGTATCAAATCAAGTTTTGAGTCAGCACAGGCTAGTGACAAGTCTCAAGTCCAGTTTCACTCAATACATGTGAGTATCAAGTCTCGAGTCAGTACAGGCAAGTCTTAGGTCAAATCTCAAGTCAGTACAGGCTAGTCTCAACTCCCAAGTCAAGTCTCGAGTCAGTACAGGCTAGTCACAAGTCAAATCTTAAGCCAAAAGAGGCAAGTTTCAAGTTGGGTCTCAGATCAATAAAGACAAGTCCCAACAGAGATGTTGACTCGAGTCAGTGGCTAAGCTTCCAGTCTCACTTTCACCTGATCGCAACCTGACTCAGAGGCGCGCTTAACTTAATACAGGCGAGTCTCAAGTCGAGTCTTGAGGCTAAAACAATTTTTCAGCCAACAGAATGCCACTTCGACACTGACCAAGTAAATATAACAGCCCATTTAATGATAACATGTTAAAATACCATGCTCATATTAGTATATTAAATTAACAGCAATGTTTTTACATGGAAACATAATGATTGACACAAAGAAATACATAAAAGTAGTGTTCTGCACATGAAAAGAAAATGTAAACAATTTTCAAAGTCCGTCTTTAATAAAGATTTTTAGCAGAATATTTTGAGCCCTCTGTGGCTAAACATACATAAAAACCCCACTATTTTAAGCTGAATTTAGAAAACCAGCCAAAAAAATGACAGAAAAGAGAGCATAATAGTGAATTTTGTTTACTTGTCATGAGGAAAAAAAATGACACTTCGCGTATGTAACAAACACAGTGACCGCTTCCTTAAGAGGGACTCAACAAAAAGACTGGAGATTAAATGCTGAGCAAAGGCTTGATGCAAATTTGAATTCTCTCAAATACTAATACAAATTATTAACTCTAAAATAAACTACACAAATCGCTTGATTATGTTGTCCTAAGGGGTTTGTATCAAATATATTTTCAGTGCAGGTTTATATGAAAAGTAATCGACTGTAGCCAGTCATAAGTCTCAAATTCTACTGAGTCATGAAATTTGTGACTCAAGTCCTAGTAGCGTCCAAGTTGTGTGACCTGAGTCCACACCTCAGATATAAATTTGCAGTAGTATCTGGCTGCAGTCCTGCAAACTGATGACATGAGGAACCAGGCTAGATGGTAGAAGTCCCTGCTTGAGTAACCCAGGGCCTTGGAAGTAAACTGCTCCATCAAAATAAAAGGGTTAGGTACACTTTAACCACGTTCGGTAGTTATCTAGCTAAAACATGTAGATCATTCAACTTTCTATCATTTTAAACATTTAAAGCACTATTTGTGTGCAGAAGCCATAATTTCCTGACCTATGCAGTGCACTAAGTAGGGAGTAGGGAGCGATTCGAGATTCAGCCGTAGTATATAAGGGTTTCTTGAAACGTTACACGCTGATGTGTTAATCTTCCATGCCCTCCATGTAATAACATGCAAGGTATGGTAGCTACTTAGCCTCTTGACCACTATGTAACATCATATCTGGAGCTGAGAGAGTGGATCTGACAGTGTACTACTGTGGCTCTGCAGTTACCTTTCTCAGCCAGAGGCTTGGTCTGCAGGGCTGCAGCAACACTTGCTACCACCAGGTGGAGCTGCACAGACCCCAAATAGGAAACTCCTTGCAAAATGCTCTTTAAATTATGCAGCAAAACTAGAAACCAGAGCCTTACCATACAAATATTTTGTGGCTGATACTGATTTTAGGGGATCATTGTATTGGCAAATACAATGTTTTATCATTTTACTTTATATACTGTATTTACATATTTTTGATATTTTAATCATGATTTTGTTTTGTGTTTTCGAACAGTTCATGATGCAGTAACAGGTACTCACGAGTACTGTGTGCTCCAGGTCGGCCATGAGGCACTGTTTGAGCCGCTGGTCAGAGCTGATGCCGTGCAGGGCAAAGTCAGGCATGTACTGTGGACAGTAACCTCCCAGCAGAGAGCGGCCAAAATGATTGACACTGGGGCGGCTCTCCGTCTGACAGCTAAGCACAAACATACACACAGAGATATACAAATCTTTACAAGAAGATAGAACAAAGGGCACATTACTCTAGCACACTCTAGCACACCACCGCTATGTGGAAATACAATGAAGTTTATGGCAACACGCAAACTGCATGAGATTTAGAGAAGGTTAGTTGTAAGGAGCATTTAGGACAAAATCAAATGTGCAAAAAAAAACCCAAACAAACAAAGAAACAAAAAAATAAAGATAGGAGATTCATCAGTTAAGAAAAAAGCAGGATGGCCAGAAAAATTTTCAGCGATGTTACATGATCCGATTTAACAATGTTTATATACACACACAATAGCCAGACTATTTAGTTGTATGAAAGACTAGTTCATTTATAGACGTTTTTACATACATGCCAAAGTCTGACTTAACTACAGTTACTACAATTCATCACAGTGTCCACCACTGGAAAACATTAGCGCTCCTATTTTCCTTCCATCTAAATATCCCATGTCTATTTCTGACACAATATTTAACAAAAAAGGTACATCTCTTTCACCTTTTGTCGTGTCATGTTTGCTTTGGTGTTATAATGCTGTCATTCATGTGGTACTGCTGAAAGCACAGCAAAATGTCACAAGGACTCTGTGGGAGTCAGTGGGAGCATTCTAATGTGACAACAGACGGATGACACCAACCTGCATATTCCGTATCTTTCAACGCAGCAATGGAGCAGCTGCTCCATTGAAGGATACAGCATTTCTGGGTTGCCGTCATTCGTCTACCATTATTGTGTGTACTGCAACTGCAACTGCCATTAGTCGCAAAAGCAGAATGAACTGGATGTTGAGTTTTTTTGGTGGAAAAACAGGCACTGAACGCTTATAGCTTATAAGTCCAGGCCTACTTGTTCGTGTACACTGACCTCAAAAAGTGTTTGGACTCTTTAACCATTTAACTTTTAGTAAACTTTAATGTCTTTAGGTTACTTCATAAAACTTTTAACAAAACGATATGTGAAAAAGACTTTTAGCACACCAAACAGATGGTGGATCGCAAAGCTTGGTTGCTTTTTCTTATACTAGTGTCAGTAAACATGATGGGATGGTAAACTCAGAAGTGTACAAAGACATTCTGGATGCAAACCTGCAGAATAATAAATGCCACTTTATATGCTACAAATGCCCAAAAAAGATTTGGGGCCACTGTACGACAAAATGTCAATGAAAGTGTGCCATTAGAAACATTAGCCTGTGTTCAAAACACTGTTTTAGGGTAAAACAGTGGCTAACACCATCACAGGTGGGACACAGGTGGGGGCAGCACTGCTATAATAGAAAAAAAGTCTAATCATACATCATTTCCCCCTTCCCCAAATATAGTTGATCAGCCAAGACCTTAACCTTGAAAAAAGTATGTGTTCTGATACCTCGGAAGGGGCAGTTCATGCTCTCGCATCTCTGCTGCTGTGTATGGTTGTCGGGGTGAAGGCTCCTCCTCATCACTGTCTCCCAGAGAGCTGTCCGAGCTCTCATTCTGCCGTATGTCTGTCAAAAGCCTGTGAGGCAGCTTCCTGTGTAAGCCCCTCCCACACCGTCGTTCATCATGCTCCGCCTCCCTAGGGCTGCCGATGGTAAACTGTACTCGCTGTACTGGAGGGCTCTGACTGGCTAAAATGTGCTCTAACCCTGCCCCCACAGAGTCATTACTGTCCCCAAAACAGTCCTGCCCAACCTCTCCACACTCCAGCCTCTCATTGGTCATTTCAGGAAAGGGGGAGGGCTCAGCTGACTCTGAGACTGGGCCTTTTTCACTGGTCCTTTCTGAAACTGGAGCAGGGCTTGTACCAAGAAAGTCAGCTCTTAGTGTTTTTTCATTGGTCCTTTCAGGAAAGAGGGCTGGCTTTGTAAGCTCTGACTCAGGTGTGAGTGGTTTCTCATTGGTCCTTTCACATAAGGGGGTGGGCTTAGTGGTTTGAGGTGGACAGGGGTTGGCTGGACTGTCCGTGTGTCCTGGAGGCTGTGTGTTCTCCTGTAAGTCAGAGCAGCGGATGAAGTAGGAGAGGACGTAGAGGACGCGCTGCACCAGCTCTCTCCTACGTCCCACCACCACTGTCCGACATACTCGCACAGGAGAACCCAATGCACCGTACAGATCACCTGCATGACAAACAGTTAATCAGCCAGTTTGGCCACTGTACGCTTGTAGTAGCATACAATTAAGAAAAATATTTCTATTGCAATTGATCGTCAGCTAAAATGTAATATTCGTGACAGGCCATCTTCTGCTCCTTAACACTTCCACATGGTCTGCTGCAGCCTACACCTACTTTCTATGCTCTCTTTAGCTAATTTAGCATTAACTCAATGAAAATCTTTGAAAAAAGATCACATATTAAATAACATTAAATAACAAAACACTCAGTAATTCATTATCTTTTGGTATATCTCTTTCTGTTCTTTTTTTGAAAGTTGTGTAAATCTGTACATTCGTGAGCTTCTGCTGATGTGGGTCCATGGCCGTTTCTTTTCTTTATATGATGCATACGAAAGTCATTTGCATGCTAATAGCTCCCTCTTGTGGAGAAATGTCAGCCTGCTAGACATGTGTAAGTGCCATGTGCTTCAACTTATCTGATGATAATGTTTTTTTTTCATTATAATGTCATTATAGCAGAGGCACTCTGGAAGCCAACCATAGATGTCGTTGGGAAACAATGAAGTACTATATTTTTTTCATAATTGTACAAGTTATCTTGGAACCATTGGAACACATGCTGAAAGGAAAATGCTTAGACAGTGTGTCGGACTCTGAGAAACCCCAGGCACACACAGTGGGGAATTACTGTAGCCCATTGGCTTCATCATGCCCTGTAATTATCAACTGTTTAAACAGTAAATGTGAGTAAAACATCACATGTACATATTATTGTGAATTTATATATTACTAAACAAGCTGTTTAAAATTTAGTCCTCTGTAGTTCTCCATCAGGTTACTGACAATAATTGCCTTTTAAGTATTGTCCTCTGCTTACTTGTCAATCACTGCTGATTACATTACTCTATGACCCAGGCCTAGTGCCTACATAATTTGTGCCCTGTGTGAGGAGCCCATCTTTAAGGTGGTTTCAGTGTGCATGTGTATACTTTACAGTGTGTTAGGTTGGTGTGTGGGTGTGTACCTAGCTGAGCCCACAGTGGGTTGTAGGGGTGAGACTTGGCCAGAAGGTCCACAGTGTGGGAGGCATGTTTCTGGCAGACGGGTTTGATTGGCAGGTGGTTGCTAGGCATCACTGTGGGAACCCAGGCTAAGTGGTACATGAGGACAGCAGTAAGTAGTGCAGAGAGGAACCTGGTGAATAGAACACAGAGGAAGTTCATGTCAAATATAGAGGAAAAATATATCAAGGTGTCGCACGCAAGAAAGTTTCCAAAATGACATACATTATGCTTCAGAATTTTACTTCAATTAGACTTGTTTTACACTATCATTATAGCTTTGAGAAGCATGGGTTGAAGGAACAGACTACTGAAAGTACTATTTAAGTGTATTCTGAACATAAAAATAAATGTTTTGTATCTAATCACATGCAGCTGATACATACTTAGTGTAGTCACTTAGTACTTTGTGTACAAATTACACTAATTACTAATACTGATGACAATTAACCCTTGAAATTTAGGACCTGTGAGACACAAGGTTACACAAGCAGTGCGTGTGCTGAACGCCAGCAATGGGTGCACCTTAAAAGTAGCTGAATTCACCAATTAGAAGTAGTGTCTTGGTACTTATGGACATATCGAGTAACTTCTAGTTTTACTCTCTCTTTATTACTTATATGGCCTATAGCTTCACTATTCTGCTGATAGGGGTACCATTACATTCTATTTGTTGATGCATAATTTGTCATTTGCCCTCTACCTTCTTCATCACTAGCCAGTTTCTGACCACAGGACCTCTGTTGTTCATATATTACTTGGATGGTAGATACTGATAAGGTAGTGACATGGTAGTGTGTGTGGAGTATCAGCCACAATGGTGTCACTGCTAGGCTGAATACAATAAAACTATCCAGACAAGAGCGGCTTTGCTAGTCTAGAGGATCGCTGACATAAACTGTGCATTAACAGATGAGCTACAATCTCTAACTGTACTCCAGTAAGGTGGAGCTACAAGACAGCGCTTTTTAATAAAGTGGTCAGTTAGTGTTAATGACATAAATCATAAAACCCTGGGGAAACATTAATACACAATGCAAAGGAACATATAAAACATCAGCTTCACTGGGGAACTGAAATTATGACAGTTGTCCACAGCCTTAAAAATGAAAAGGTCAAAAGGTGAAAAGGGCACTGACTGGTTCTTGGCCCCATGCTCCATGAGCAAGCTCATCTCCTTCAGGAAGCGCTGACACAGCTGGTTTCGCTCGGCACTCTGGGATACCATGGTCAACCAAACTGGCTCAGTGATCCGCGGAGCCATGTACAGATTCCATACGGTCATCCTAGACAAGAGTACAACCCACAAAGAGACTCAAAACCAAGAGTAACAAAAATCAGACACAAGCCACGGATGTTATGCATTTATCGCTTGTCACACTGCAAACGATGCTGCCAAAATCTGCAACTTCTTTTATGCTGCAGGTCAGATTACATGACATACATAAGATTTCCTGGCAATAGGTCTGCATACAATATTTTCAAGTTAAAGAACTGTGATTATCAATAATATCACCGGCTGCAAAAAGGGATCAGAAAAACTTTTTCTCCAGGTTAGAGCTAGCTGCTCTAAGGTAAAACCCAGTGACATCAGCTCATTTTATTTATTTATTTATTTTTATACTGCAGCGAGTCACTGAGGCAAGTTACAGAGCACTCTGGCATTTATTTTCCACTCACTCAAGCTAAACATAATGTAAAGTAAAATAAGTAGTAGGGGAAAGTGTGTAGTAAAGCTAGCAATAGTATATAGCAGAGAGAGAACTAACAGGCAGCCTCAGAACAAATCTCTCTCTCCCTCTCAAACCGATAAAGCTGCACGCTCCCACACTTCAACTCCAACTTCCCAGCATATTTACAAGCTGTTTAACAGTAAATTGGTCCTCTCTAATTATCTCTTATTCCTTTTCTTTTCCCAAAATGGTTATTATTACATTCACAGCATTTGGCAGAAGCTGTTAGCCACAGCGACTTACAATTTGATCTTGTTTTTTTGTTTTTTTTTTAAAACACAGGTAGGCGAACGTAGTATTAGGAGTCTTGCCCAAGGACTTATTGGTATAGTGTAGGGTGCTTACCCAGATGTGGGACTGAACCCCAGTTTTTCTGTCGGTTACATGATAGTTAGCTCTGTCATTTCAAGGCAGGCCACTCTATAAGCTCAAATATAACAAGAAAGGCCCTGTATGGCAGCACAGCTGAATACTTCTATAGCAGAAAAATGCTCAAAAATTATGCTTTCAAAACTGGATCTATTGGTATCTTCAGTGTCCCAAACGTCTATTAAGTGTTAAAGGAAAGGTGATGTAACACAGCATGCTCTTATCCCAGCTGTTTTTTGGAACGTGTTACAGGCATTAAATTTGGAAAGGGTGTATATTTACAAATGAAAGAAACAGGTCGTTCCGTGTGTGAAAGGCTGCTGCGTGGCTTTATCAGTTAACAAACATGACAACATGTGGGATAAGAAAGATTTACCTCACACTGCTAGAGAATGTTCTGAAGCCAGACAACATATCAGGACTGACTTAGAACATGGACCAACATTACACACTAAAAGAAAACTCTTTTACAGAAAACAGATTGCAGGACAAATATAATTATGTTTGTGCGTCTTAAAGCCACATACTGCTTTTGGGCCAGCTTGACTGACAATCACAATAGATGGAAACTCTCAGTGATTGACAATACTATCATCAAAAAAAATAACCCAAGCACCAATCAGACACTAGTAACCAAGAATAAACATAAATCAGACAACTGAACACCGGTGGTGTGAATCAGACACAAATTACTAGGCACCGAAACAAATAGGATAAGGGTAAAAGAGCAGAAACACAGATCAGACAAAAGCAACTCAGCACAGACCGAGACAGAGCACAAGCAACAGACTGTGGAAACAAAGAAAACCATTTAAAACACACTGCACATTCATAAAAACATACAGATATCCTCACCTGAACTCTCCCAGTGCCTCCATAACTCGACACAGATACACCTGCACTCGCTGACTAGCCTCTGCTACCCTCCTGCACACAATCATCGCCTGAAACACACAAACACAGTTTTAATTTGATTCTGACAAAGTAATCTAAACACTCTTGCTTTGTCTATATGTTACCTGTTGTTCTCCAACCATTTGGCGAGAGGGGAGAGCTATAGTTAAGAGATTACTGTATGCTTGTCTGGACTGGAAACCTGTTAGTCTATATATTCTGCAGTAAAATCACTTCAGTTTTTTTTGGTGGGCTACTTGCGGACTATTTATGTGAAATAACCATTTTATAGTGTTGTGAATACACTAAGTGGTTCACACTGCTGTGGCACGTACACACAATTGCCTTCTACTTTCTTTTGGTTTTGAATGCCCTGAAATCAGAAGCAGCATGTTTGGTAAAACAGAACATTTCAGCAACAGTCGCAAGTGAAAAATTTGGTGGGACTGTATTTATGTTTTAGGTGGCATGCCACTCCTGGGAAGTAGTAGCAAAAAGACTCTAAAAAGGGTCTTTATCTGTCCATTATTTAACGAAGGCCAGCGTATAACGTGCGTTTATGTAACTTCCAAAGAATTGGAGGGGATTAGGTTTAATATAGCCGATACAAGATTCATTCCTCTGGATCAGATCAGGACATCACTAATAAAATATTAGCAATTGCACAATAAAGGAAAGGGCTGCAACAATAACAATGACAACAACAAATTTTAGGTGATGACATCATGTTCTTGTTATTGTCCAGATAGTGAAAAATAATGTGACATGAATATCAGTTCATATCTTCCACCCCTTCACTTTGCTTGTTCGGAAAGTCCAGACGAGCATACAGATTCTTAGGGACACAAAAGGATTCAGTGTCCCACAGCAACCACATGCTGGAAAGTCAACAATGTGGCCTTCTTTGACCTCAGCGCTGGCACGACTGCATTCATGCACTCACCCTCTCGATGGCGGTCTTGAGCTTGTTCATGTGGGACTCGAACAAAGGGAAGTGAGAGAAGAAGAACTCTTGGAAGCTGTGGCTCTCCTCCTCCTTCTCAGGCAGGCTGATGATGATGCTGACGGCGATCTTCTTCCTCCGAGCCATTGCTGGGTTGGAGCTGCAGCTTTCATCAGACAGACTGAACATCTCCTCTGTGCTCCTGCCAAACACACGTACACAGAAGAGTGGTCTGCACACTTAACAAGCACAACCTAAAACTCTTCCTCATCTGGTCAGCAAAAAGCTTTTCATCACTAACTGATATTGTCAATAATAGCTTACAAAATATTTAATCTTTTATCTAATGTCACATTTTGAATGTGCGTATTGGTCAGTCACAAGTAATTAAGAAGCAACTGACATTGTAATGCTCTGTAATGCTCTTTAGCTAATAATTATCTGGTTGCCCAATACTATGTTATTACTAAGCAATAACTGGGTGAATAAAGCTTTTTTCTATGTTTATTTGTGTATTGTACAAACCTCAAACCCAAAGTAGTTGCGACAGTATATGAAATACTAATAAAAACCGAAAGGAATGATCAGTAAATTCTGTTTGACCTGAAACAAACTGAAAGCAGCACAAAAACATATTTGATGTTCAACCTTATTGACAAAGTTAAAATATGCCGGTTCCAAGTTGCCTGTAACACATTCCAAAAAAGCTGAGACAGGAGTATTTTACCACTGTTACATCATCCTTCCCTTTCACTGCACCTAACAGTTCAGCTGCACAATCAAGCTTTGTTTATTTTTATAGTTCACAGTAACTCCTACTGTGTTGTAATCCACATAGACAAGTCTGTGTGACCGTAATGAAGACCTGAATGCAGTTTGAGAGGGTTGAGAAAAGTTTTGGGACGTATTCTCAGAAAAGTTGTGGGTGACTATTCACTTCTCCTGTTCGTCAGCAATGTTAGCCTCGTAGCTCTAGTGCATAACTAAAGAAGCAAAATTTGGACATTAAATGTGTCTTGTCTGATTGATTGATAAGGCACATAAAGGGCTGCACAATGGCATAATAACGTCCCCCTATACTAAAATGTTACTGTATTTTAATATGCATTTCTTAACACATTTCAAAATGCAGGGCCAGATTTACTATGAGAGGCGCTAAGAGACAGTATACCAACACGCTGGTGGGGGTGGCTAATTTAGCAGCTTATCTACTAAGAATGTCCATGCAAATGAACTGTGAACTTTTTAATTAACATGAGCAATGCAATATAACTGTGTGTTTGAGTCGTATGCTTTTTGTATGTAAGCCCGTCTCCATCAATCGCATACTGCAGCACTAAATAGTGTATTCAAAACTGTACTAGTGTAGCGTATAGTTTTATACTTAGGTACTATGATTCTGGTTCAAATTCATCCTCATTAGCTTAAAATAATGACTTATTTTTTTGAGATTTTGACTTAGTAGGTCAAAATAATGACTTATAATTAAAGAACAAGTTACTACTCTTTTGAGAAAGTATGCTTATTTTGATTTAATATGCCACTACGCTAAGAAAATAAGGTTATTTCGATATGATAAATGAAAAATTGAGACTTTGTTGCAAAACACATTTGTTTGGTGGTTTGAGCTGAACATACATGCGCTAAAGAGCTGGGCCTTTCTAGTAAATCGAGACAACCACTTTTTAATGCCAAAACAAGGTTTGTGACGGCACAAAACGTTAGTAAATCTGCCTCACAGTGTTTTTAAAAGACTACTGCTAATGGTTACAGGCCTACACCATTAACAGTCTACATAATTAATGCTATAGGCAATCAGCAATGTAGACTTTAAAAAACAAGGTTAAATTGGCAGCTGTTTTCTGCTAAAGCCTCAATTTTAGGCTATATATTTATATAACATAACGCAACATTAACTAAATATTAGTTCATTGTACAAAATAAGAACACTCATTTTGGACAGATTCCACAGGCATGATAAGCCTGTGCGTAGTCACCAAACTGCCTGCATGCACATACTTGCGAACCACTGACATAGAATTACAGGAGGAATCTCAAAAATAACTCAAAAAGTATATATAAATGCACACAAATATCAATATACAGGACTGTACAAAGGCCAGTGGTCATAAATACTGTTTGTACATCTATTTACTGCCCACAAACCCACACACACACACTTTCACTCACCAGCGAGGGATGGGGCCGTGTTGTAGGCTGGTTGCTTGGCTACGGAGCCATCGCCGTTGGTAACTGCTGGCACAGCCACTGCCAGAGGAGGAGCCAGGTGAGGCAAGGGGTGTGGCCAGCAGGCTGCTTAATGACGCTGTGAGGTAGAAAGTGACATTTGATAAGGCTGAAGGAGTAAAAGTCCTACCAACAGCACAACAGGCACAAAAACAACTGCTGGGAAAAAGTAGAGCATGAGAAGTGTACTGTAGAAATTTATAATATCCCAGTGTTGCTAATATAAGCCAGCTGATCAACAGACCACTAAAGAAAAGAAGTCAATGGAAATTGCAATTATATTTATTATATTAATTTTTAAAAAAAATATATGAAGTCTTAAGATCCTAAACACATGTTTATTTCATCAGTGGGTCTTGGGAGCTGGTGTGAAGAAAGTTTTGTTCCAGATGTCTCCAGCCACTGCAAGGATTAGTTAAATTCCATCACCAGCACAGCAGATTTAACATATTGATTAGCAAATACAGCGCTGGTAGTTAACTACAAATAATACTGGACTGCTATGAGAGGTTTAGAAATGGTTGAACATACACATTCCCATAGGTTAATATACCAAAACATTATGACCACCTGCATAATAAACTGTTGGACCTCCATGTGCTGAAAAACCCACCGAGGCATGGACTCTACAAGACCTCTGAACGTGCCCTGTGGTATCTGGCACCAAATCATTAACAGCAGATCTTTTAAGTCCTGTAAATTGTGAAGTGGCGCTGCCAGCATATTCCCTTTGATACTCGGTCGACTTCAGATCTGAGGAATTCGCTATTCACAAGCCTTGCCGTTTCTGAGACACTGTGACCCAGTCGTCCAGCCATGATGGTTTGGCCCTTGTCAAAAATCGCTCAGGTCTCACAAGATTTCTCACAAGATACCAGCCTGCCTATCTAACACAACTATGAGAAAAGACTGTTTGCTTACCGTCTAATAAATCAGAATAAAGTGTGTGTGTACCTGAACGGGCGATGCCACTGTCCCCGTCCTCACTGTGTCCTCTGCCTGGCATGTCCACAGGATTACTGTGAACTAGAAAAAGAGATACTAATGAAACAAGCACACACATACACAGCACAACTAGGCCTGTCCTGATCATTACATTTTAGCTGACAATTAATTGCCATATAAATAATTGCAAAATGACAATGTCTTTTATTGTTCATTGTAAGCAACTATTACAGTACAAACCTCAGTCAAACTGGCTGATTAACTGTCTTTCATCCTAGTTGTCAATACTTTGTAGCTCCTGACTGACAGACACAGCTCAAGCTCAAATCAATTACCTTTACTCACTGCCTCCCTCTAAAGGTCTTAACAAACAATGGTTAAACAAGCATTACTATCGCTCTTGACAGGTGTTACAGCACCAGTCAAATATTAGAACCTTTGTCATTCACTCACAATGTGTCTCAAATGCATTTTCTGCTTTCTTTTACTGTGTTTTCCACTGTGGAAAATAAGTTTGATCAGCTCAATTAATTGTGACCAGGTGATTATATAACACTCATGACAGGCCTAACAAAAACACACACACACACACAACCACGCAAGTGCATCACCAGTGGTCCACCTGGTGCTAAAAAGAGCATGCAAGTCAAACTCAAAACACCATTAGAAATGAAGTTTAATGGGTGGGTTTGTGTCTGTAAGGGAAAGAACTGTTAGTATAGTACAAACTAATACAAGGACATGTGTTTGCCTGCATCTGTGTGTTGTGTAACACACGTTTTCTCACACCAGATCCACACTGGACACACACCTGCAAAAAAAGATACACTTCGAACAAGGAGCTGACGAGTAGGGCCTAGGGGGTAACCTAGGGCAACAGCAGTGTTAGATAAACTACTCAAATAGGAACACTGTTCACACTGACCGTTAAGGTTTCTTCATATTCCTCCATTCTTCTTTTAATTCCATCTTAACCAGCTTCCACATGTGCCAGTGAAAACTGCCTGCCCCTACAAGTCATGCAAAAATGACCGCCTGTGTTTCCCTCGTTTACATGTCAGTCCAACAGCCCGTTACTGTCAAAGTAGGTGGTTCTTCGCCATGTTGAGCAACAAAAACACTAAACTCTTCTAAGAAAGGAAGAAGCCTGGCTTTGAGACTAGAACCTGCTGAATGTCTAAGTAGATTGTACCACATCTTGGAGGTGTGCTTATCACAGTGTTTCAAAAGGTGGATTTATATATACACATATATACATACATAAACATATATAAACATATATATACATACATAAACATATATAAACACACACACATATATATATATATATATACAAAATTAATGAACAGAGGTACTTTAAGGTGCACCCATTGCTGACATCAGCACTCAACTGAGCACAGCTTGTGTAATCTCCATAGAAAAGCATTGACCAATAGAATGGGATGCTCTGGAGCAGCTGCACATGAGTCTAAGGTCACCATGTTCAGTGCCAAGCATTCGCTAAGGGGGTGTAAAGCTCCCGGGCTGTGGAGCACTGGAACTGCATTCTCTGGAGTGATGGAGCTCCATCCAATACCTCAGGGATAAGCTGGAGCGTCTGTCATCCAAAACTAATTATCCAACGTCAGTAGCTTACCTTTTTAAACCGAGTAAGTTAGAGTGAATAACTGTGACAGGGCTAATGTGCGCGTGTGGACATGTGTGCTCATATATGTCGACTGCAAAAGAATATGAATGTAACACTATAGCAAGTATATGATTGCGGGTGTATGCATGTCTTACCTATGCTACTGGTGTGACTTGGGCAAGTCTGGCTAAATGACTCAAAACTGTCCTGCAGACTAAACAGAGAAACAGGGAAGAGAGTGTTAAGCACAATCATGTTCCAATTGAATCTGATTACAATCTGATTACTACCAAGCAAATTTAGTGAACAATGAAGGAAAAAGGATAATACATGTCTAGTCACATCATAGACAGATAGACAGCTGAAAACCATTCATTTATTAAGAGTTTTGTTTGATACTGTTTCATACTGAGACAACATACTGTACTAAAGTCTCGACATGTATGCTTATAGAAAAGTTTTCCTTAAATATGCAATCGTGGCAATCTGCTATATGAGGAAGCACCTGGGATGCAAGTTCCACATATGCCAAGACCTTTTTGACTACACAGTACTGTGCAAAAGTAAGAGACCTCTTTAAATGTATTTAATTTTCCAGACAAAACAGCCATTAAATTTAGCAAATCAAGACACAGAGATTTTTCCTCACTCCCCCAAAGTTTAGTCTTAGAATTTGGTTGAAATTTATACTTCTTACAATCCAAGTAATCCCAAACGCAATTAGTGATGCTGATTTTTGGACTCTGGGGTGGTCAGTCCATTGTTCTGAGAATTAGAAATTAAATAAATATAGTGTGGTCTCTGACTTTTGCACAGTAATGTGCATACACACACACACACACACACACACTCTATTTGTATTTTCTAATTAGTGGGTTCAGCTACTGAAGATAGATACTGAGATGCACCAGGAATTCAGTTGAGCGCACAAAACGTATTTGATCTTTACAAGAAAGCATTGCTAATACAGTGGGATGCTCTGGAGTAGCTGCACAGGGGCCTAAGGTCACCAAGCTCAATGCAAAGCGTCAGCTACAGTGGAGCAGTGGAACCGAGTTCTCTGGAGTGATGTAGCTCAATCCAATACCTCAGAGATGAGTTGGAGTGATCCAGAACTGATCAACCAAAATCAGTACCTGACCTCACTCACTGAGCTCTTGTGGCTGAATGCAATCAAATCCACACAGCAATATTCCAACATCTAGTTTAAAGACTTCTCAGAAGAGTAGAGGATGTTACTGAAGCAAAGGAGGAACAAACTCCGTATTAATACCCTTGATTTCAGTAGAAACATTGAATGAGTAGGTGTCTACAAACTTCTGGACATAAAGATTCAGTTTCCTAGATTAGACCTAGACCTAGATTAGCTCATTCTTGGACTAAAAAGGGTTTTCATGGTAAATCATCACTGACATTACAATTTAGTCTTCGACTACACTTAATCCATGTCCAGGAAACCTACCTTAAGGGTCTATCATCTGTATTCAAACTTTTGACTGGTACTATTTGAGCTTCATACAGTTCAAATATTAGAATTACAGGATTCAGAGGTTATATTGTAACTGTATTATCCAAATCTGAGAAAGGCTGAGTTCAACAGATTCACAGATTTCCATGTACCCGGCGCTTTCACAAAACACTCAAACAGCAGATCCGACAAAATTTCTTCTTGTTATTTTCTTCAAAACTTGAAAGTGAAAGTTCTGTGATGGTGTTGTTAATGCACAGTGACCAGACATGGGATGACTCAAGAGTCAAGAGATACTTACGTGTTGGTGCTTCCTGTGTTGCTACTGCCGTATCGCGTGGAGAAAACTTTACTGACCATCAGCTGAGGGGGAGACCTGCCCAACACAAACAGCCTAAATAAGAAAACATATCATCCCAAAATCCATGTGACACCATCTGAGGCTCCACAATATTTGGAGGTTTCAAGCAAAATGCAAACTTATTCTCAGGCCTTACAACATGCTCACGCAAAACTAATATACATGCTGGGCTCACATGTTTTTTGTATGGAAGCCTGTTTCTGCCAGGCAGGAAGGGAAATTTTTTTTTTTTTTAATCTTTTTCTGTTTCTAATTATAAATTATAGGTTCAAATTGTTACTCATTAGGTCAAAATAACTTATTTTCTCAAGACTTTGACTTAGTAAGTGAAAATAATGATGATGAATGATGAATAATGATTATTTTGAGATTAATTTGAGAAAAGTGCTTATTTCACATAATAAGTAAAAAAAATTAGGAAATTAGTGATTATTTTTTACTTTCTCTTTTGGGGCATGTATATTTTTGCCTAGAAGGATGAGCTGAACTTGAGTTTTGTGTCAAGTGCTTTTTGAACAAATGCCGAGCATAACCTTTTAGCTATGCACAGTGCTTCAAAGGCTGTGATTTTTCTGAACAGCAATGAAGTAACGAGTAGCTTTAGAAAAGCAGGGACCACTCAAACAAAAGAGCTTCTACAGGTGCTTTTGACAAAAGTTCGCAAAATAAAACTCATTATTTGGGCAAGAGCTTCTAAGACACTTTGAGTATGAGGAACTAGCATCTTAAAACATTATTTTTCTAAATCTTCTTTTGATTTTTTTTGTTTATTTCTTTTGTCAAATTAAGAATAATTTCAAATGGCAGCATTTATGATGATAAATGTCCACACACTTTCTGGTACACACTTACACTTACCGGATATGGTGAATCTTCAATGTTGAACCCTTGTAACTCATGGCAACTGAGCCAAACATCATCTCCCCAAGCATATTCACGTCTGAAGCTGGTCTTGTGTACTAAACATACATACATACATACACACTTAGACTATCGTATAGCACAGGCATATAGTACAGGTAATGTGTTTGTGTTATAAACTTGCCTGATATGTAGGCGGAGTCTCTTTCTGGCTGGCCTTGCTGCTGATCTGGCATGCGCCACTTCGGGTAGGTGTGGCTTTCGTCTCCTCTGCACTCTGCAAGTAAAACAACCAATCAGCTCAGGAGGTGTCTGGGCCGAATAATTCAAATGCTCTAGTATTTATTTGTTACACTGCTACTTGTTCGTTGCAAAGCTAATATGTAGTGTGGGTGCGCTGCTTCAAGTCACCCTGCTAGGCCTGCAATAACTATTAAAAAGAGGTGTGGGTTGGATTTCACAGGAGCTTTCAGATCTAGTTCGTATTCACATATTAATATCACATGCACAGGCTAAAAACAAAGGTCCAGCTTGATGTTTAGGTCTCAAACGCAAAATCAACATTATGCTGATGAAGATATGATGACAACAGTAGATAATTCATTTACATCTGCCGAAGACACAATCTTCACTAAGTTTCAACTGAGTTCTCTTTGAATTCTCTTTCAACATGCTCGCAATCATCAGACTCGTCTGAAGCACAACCCACATTACCAAATGTTCTTCTGCACGTTGCCTGCAATTACACATTTCCACCAGAGAGGTCTCCAAATCCCCAAACCATTTATAGTACAGCATTAATAATAAATAAATAAATAAAATTTAGTTTAGTCAAAGGTACAATCATTTAATACCAAGTATCCATGTCAGCTCAAAAAAATAACAGGTGCCTGAATGTACCTGCACCATTTAAGGTGGAATGGGAATTCTGAATAAGAAGGCAAGTTCAGCTTCACTGAGCTTTAAAAAGTCATTTGCCTCATTAGTGTGTCCCATACATGTCTTATGCTGCCCAGTGTCCTCCTTAGAAGTTCCTACTTCGGACTTCAGAGGTTGTTAGTACAACAAGATCTGTGTTGAAGTGTTTTTGGTTGGAGACATGATAGATGTGCTGCTTTTTTGTTTACTTTTGTTTTTCTGTCACTAAAGAGAGTCTTTATTTTCAGTTATTGAAATGAACAGATAAGCAGAGGATGCTAATGAGATGATTAATGATTTTAACCAGTTCCAAGCTTCACATGACGTGTTTTTATTTGTAATTTTGTGTGCAGACGTTTTTAACCTGCAGGGTTAATGTGTGGCTGCTGAAGAACTTCCAACCAGTTTATCAGTGGCTGCCATTGCTTTTGAAATGAACAGATAAGCAGAGGATGCTAATGAGATGATTAATGATTTTAACCAGTTCCAAGCTTCACATGACGTGTTTTTATTTGTAATTTTGTGTGCAGACGTTTTTAACCTGCAGGGTTAATGTGTGGCTGCTGAAGAACTTCCAACCAGTTTAGCAGTGGCTGCCATTGCTTTTTCGCCTACATGCTCCCAACTTGGAAACTTGGGGTTCATCAATAAATTCAAGTCTCCCACTAGTAAATACAACATTGTGGTGGCGTTCATGTGCCCTCATCTTATAAATACGGTATTTCCGACACGCCTTGACGGCAACATCAGACAGTCTGATGCTGCTAAAATTTGGAAAGTACTTCTGTTATACCAGCTGGTCCAAAGCCTTTTTTTGCACACAAAGCCCTGAACTCACAGCATGATGCAGCTAAATAAGTCAGGTGGCCTATAAGGTGGTATGAGAGGAAGTGTGGCAATCAGTCTGGTGTCCATGTTAGGCAAAGTGAAGTACTTTAGATGCAATGGAGACAGCGAGAGGTGATGGAGGGCTGCATTATCATTTTCATGACAAACATGACAGAGACGACATGTACTCAAAGCCTGTAAAATGCTGTTTGGGCTGGTCTTAATTTTCAGTCATATCTTGGTGGTTTTACACTGGCTAGCATTTAGACTCCAACCATCAAGTTCATATCATAAATAACAAACAATTAACATCATCTTCCTTCAGTTATTTTTATCTTTTGCTCCCATAAGCACAAATGGGACGTGCAATTTAAAGTTAAGCTTCAGGCCACAACCCAAATGACTGTTTTTAATAACACAATACCAATTTTGATATGAAAAAACCTACTAAAAAACTGAAATCTCAAAAATCCACAAATCCCAAAATATGATGGTTTATATAAAGAAAACTCCAGGTTTGCAAAGAATAAAATGCAGACCGAATAATCTGCATTAGCAGAGATTAACATCTTTAGCCAGAAAGTACTTCAACACACTTTCTGCAAGGTATTATAAAGCCTTTGGAGTTCTACAATAATAAAAAGTGGCTTAGCATGTAACAAAAAGTGGCTTAGCACGTGGGCAATTAAAATCTGCAGCGCAAGATAAGAGCTCTGCACGGTACGACGAGATAGCAATGTACCACACACACAAGCACTCACACCCCCTCTCTCTGGCAGAGCCTAAGAACTGAACAAACAGACCCTCATGTGACCACAACAACTGACCATTAACCACATTCTGTTCTGACCACAATCCACAGAGAGATATTCAGCAATATCTGTAAACTGACCTTTTACAGAGAATTTCAGAGAAAAACACGATTTACCAAGTCACAACTTCTCGTTTACTTTAAAGTCTACAAGAATCTAGAGATGTTACAGATTAAGAACTGCAAAACAAACAGGACAGTCAGTATATAAGACTAGTTTGTTAATTTCCTAAGTAAGTTAACATGAATTAACATATCCTCTACAAGGAACTTAAATAAGGCATTTTTTGTACTTAATTTCTTTTTATTTGCTGAGTTTAACATATTACAAAAAATAAAATGTGACAATTTTACACATGCCTTTAATGCCCCCCCCAAAATAATGTTCATTATTATGTTAAAGCTATGTTAATGTCAGCAAATAAACAGTAATTGTATATTAAAATGTGCAGAAGTGAGTTCTCTGTGGAGGATGTTTTAACTCATTTGCATTTGCAAAATCAACAAAACATCATTTGACCAGGGGAACCCAAACTTTTGCATATGACTGTATATCATATCAGCATTTCAACACTTCCTATTTCTAAAAATGTCCTTTCCAGTAGAAGGAAAAATGTTCTTAGCTTTCCGTGAAAATTATTGTTACAAGACTTTCCTACAAGTAATTTTGGACTACTTCTATTGGGCCATTTATTATCCAGTGTGCACACAGTGTAAAGAGCAGCTGGTGCTTTTTTAGACACAATTTATTCCATTAGCCCACTGTTCAAAAGTTTGGAATTTTCAACAACAGTAAACCACCTTTTGGTTTCAGATAAACACATAAAATGGTTCTGACCTGCCCGTCCTGTACATCATAGGTTTCATATAATCAGTAGAAGGCTGTAAACAATGTTAGCTGTGTCCAGAATGATGAACAGAGCTGTAGATGATCCTAAGATGACTGAGAATGTGGTAGAACATTAAAAATGAAGTTATAATAAAATTCACATCCAGAATTCATCATATTTCAAAAGTAGAGATCACATCTCAGGCAGATAACCTGACCAACATGTAATTTTATTCACTTGTTCTGTAAATACGGAATAAAACATAAAATATAGATAAGTTTGTAATTGTTAAATCCACATTGTAGGAGTTATCAATGTATATAACGTATCCAAAACGTTACTACGGTAACAGCAGTGTAACAGAAGGAAAACGTTTATCCTCAATGTACATTCAGATTTCTTTTAGTCCATTTTACAATGAATGGTCACACATTGTAAGGGCTGCTGGCATTTGTAGTCAGTTAAAAAAAAAAGTTATAAAGTCTGATTGCGGTGATCTGTACTTTAACTGTACTGAAGACCATCACCAGATTGTTACCAGCACAAAGTTCAAAAGCCTGGGTCTGTTTTAGTGCCCACCTGTGAAGGCACAATTAATGCTGAAAGGTACTTAAACAATTTGGAGCATCACAGGCTGCCTTATTCTCAAACCAGTCCTCAGTGACCCGCAGACGGTCCACATTTTTGCAATATGCAAGCTGGGAAGGAGCAAAAATGTGGACTGTCTGCGGGTTACTGAGGACTGGTTTCAGCGACCAAGGACATTTATAGGGACGTCTATGCTAATTTCAACATGAATATGCCAAAAAACGTTCTGCACATATTATAACAGCATGGACGTGTAATCAGAGAGTGGGAGTGCTAGACTGGCCTGCCTGCAGTCCAGAACTGTCCTCCATTGTAAAGGCATGGTGCATTATGAACCGCAAAACACAATAACGAAGGCTCTGTACGCTTGCACAGCTGAAGACTTGGAGAATTATCAAAAATCTACTTTCAAAACTAGATCAATTGTTTTCACTCCCCACAAAGTTGACATGTTATTAAAAGGAATTTGTAACTAATTATGTAACACAGAGCAAACAACTTAAGGTAAAACATCAAATGTCTTGTTTTGTTTGGTATGGTTTTCAATTTAACACAGGTCAAACATAATGTATTAATTACTGCCTTCTGGTTTTATTAGCATTTCACATACTGTCCCAACTTCTTTGGAACTGAGATTTGTACAATTTGTTACAATAGTTAGAAATGAACTACACTGTGATGAACTATAGAACTATATCTATAATTAAAGAGAGAATATGACCAAATCAGAAACATTGGGAAACAGATGCTAATTTGACACACCCCTCACACACACACACACACACATCCCTCACACACACACACACACACGGGTGCAAAACTCTTTGACCTAGTTATCGGATCAGTCACACCTGTCATGAGATCCAAGCAAGAGGGATTACAGAACATGTGACTCCTTCTGAAACAGCACGCGCACACACACACACACACACACACACACACACAAAGTTACCTACCGGTTCTGATGGGTCCAGCTTCCGTATAGCTTTAGAGTCAAAGAGAACCTGCCGACCTCTTCTTTCACAATCCTGATACACGATCAATCTGATCTGAGCTAGATCAAAGTCAGCAGAAGCCCAGCTGTGAGAGAGATAGAGAGAGAGAGAGAGAGAGAGAGAGAGAGAGAGAGAAAGAAAGAGACAGAGAGAGAGAGAGAAAGAGAGAGAGAGATAGATAATGACTATCAAAAGCTACATCTACATTTTTCAAAGAAAAGTGAGGGTGCAATGTGCATTACAATAATCAAACACATTCAGTGATGCTGATGTCTGGACTTTGTTCTGAGAACACCAACAGCTTCTTTAAATGATTTGAAAACGTCTACTTTTTGTCTATTTCCTTTTCTCAGTAAGGTCTTTTTGACAGCTACACATCCTTTCAGACTCATAGTGTTGAGTTGCCTTCTCACAGTGGAAGGATGGCTGTGAATTTTTTTGGGATCTGAATCAAGAGTGGAGCTTGATTTTCTCCTCTCAAAGATAAACGCTTTAGTGCTGTTTATCTGATGGGGACAGTTTTGATGATCTACCAGGTCTACTACATTTTTTTCAATATTTCTATTTTTTAGAAACTGCTTGACTGATTTTCTTCCTTAAGCAAGTGGATTATCTTATATCTAATCTCCTCTGAAACATCTTACTAATAATGAACAACTTGTAGTAAATGGCTGTTTTGACTAGAAATTGTATAACAAATTTACACAGTACTGTACATGCAAGGCAAGCAAATTACAAAATATACAATCAAATATTATCAAATACCAAACTATAAAATATCATACACACACACACACACACACACACACACACATTATATATAAAAAACAGAATTAAAACAAGGATTTAAAAAATAAAAAGGTATAATGACAAATGCAAATAGCTACTTCAAAATAAGAAATACGGCAGCATCCTTCAGCTGTAACTTTATGCATTCATACTTGCACAAAAACTCACATACTGTTCGAAAACAACACATTTCTCAATGCTCACTCTCTCTCAAGCACACACAACACAGAGTACCTGCTCTCCATCCTATCCAGTCATCAAACGCCCATTTTCCGATTTCAGCCTCGTCCGTGCACACGCACAGACACCCAAACAAACGAGCCGAACGGCCGAGAGCCTTGGAGCTGCCAAAAAGAGGCTGGAGAGAGGCTGACCGGACCGCTCCCTCTTTACCCACATGTTTCTGTGAAATAATGCTGCATCAGCAGCAGAAAACCCTCTCTCTGTTTCTTTCTCTCTCTCTCTCTCTCTCTCTCTCTCTCTCGCCAAAGCCCTGTGTTACTGGTTAGACAAACAAACACATACATACACACACACCCACTCACTCACCCACACGCATTTAATCCTTCATTGAGGGGCATCCCATAAGAAAAGAAGAGAAAAAATCCATGTACAGTACATTTAAGTACACTGGCACTTATTCATCAAAGTTGCGCACACTTAATACTGGTTGTAAACTAAGCGCATGCAAATTATAATGGCAGATTTATTATTTATCAATAATAACAATAATTAATCTTTGGCATACCTATACACTCACAGAGGCTAGGAGAGTGTGTGAATTTGCGTGTATAGGTTTAACAGCATGAGAAAAATGCTTGATTTGTGGTTAACTAAGACCATTATTGGTATTATATATATATATGATATTGTTAATGATAATAATAAGGAAAGAGGTTTGCACTTCAAACTATGAACACAGCCATGGCTCACAAGCTGCTGAATGGTGTCTTTTTATTGGCTCTCTGCATGAAGCTATCTGCATGAATTAGGGTGTACTTCATTTCACGCACTGAAGCCGATTCATCGTTTGCACTCAAATCGCTGCTCGTTTCCATGTTGTACTTCATGAGTCACGTGCAGAGTAGTTCATATGTCATTAAAGGCGGTCAAAACTGCACTCTTTTTTACGGTACTTTGAATGAGGGCCAGTGTGTTTAATTCCAAACACTAAAATGCATTAAACAATAAAAACACAGTTTTGGGCCTTTCATCATACATTTACAAGGGGGGTACAATTTGACTAGGGTTTCACTCCTTTTTAAACATTGGTGCTTTAGACTTTAGAAGTTCTTGGAATTAAATGTGCCATTTTAACTACATTCGCTGTTGGGGAAAATAACGAATCTTGATTTTTCTGACCACTACTGCAGTTTTGCTAAGAAGACTAGCATTTCCACATTTCTCGGCTTGAATGCATAACTTAGTGTGCTAAACTGCCACTTAGTTGTGGTTGTGTTGTCACGTACAAGAACATAGGTGTGGCTGTTTCTGATTAGTCTAACTCATCTGCAGGCAGTTCACAAGCTCCAGTTATTAGACTCAGTTTACTCTCTTAAAACTTCTTAGCACTTTTTGATAATGAAGCCCATAATTAAAATTACAGATCTTCCAATTTGAAATTTGCACTCCTTCAAATTGCGCTTTTCATATAGAAATGATTACAATTTCAGCTCTATTTCCTATTGTAATATCTGAATTTTAAATGAAGACTTTCAACTATCCCTACAGGAAACTACTGTATATATAATATGGTGTCTTTCATGATAAGCACTACTCTTCCACAGCAACTCTGGGGTCCCCCCCCCATAGTCATCTCCACAGCCTTCTAGCACAACCTGTGCTAACACAAAGCATATGACATTCCAGTTAATTTGAGTTTTTGTCACATTATCATGAACATTTCAATAAACAGCAGTATTTTATATGGAAATTTTCACTTTGCAAGCATCATCTTTTATCTGCTACACACTTAAAACAGATGGTTCTTCAAGGGTTCTTTAGCAAATGCAATGGTTCCATTCTATATAGAACCATTTCATCCTTAAATGGTTCTTTGCATCGTTCTTCAGATTGATGGAGAATGTGCTATACGTGGTTCTAGAGCTGCGCGATATGGCCAAAAATGTTATCACGATAAACAAAATTCATATCGTTTCGATATCGATACATACCGCGATAAATGTCAAATCATTATTTCTTTCAAGTTTGAAGGCTGATTTTTGCTCCTGGGTGGTTAACTGCTGTTTTATACTATCCTTTATGGTCTGAACACAACAAACACTCACCAAACAGTGGAACATTTCACAGATCTGTCATGGGACAGTAGGGAGAGAGCGTCTGGTGAGCTGTTTTTACCAGCTGGAAAAGCACGGCTATTTTGTAATAGTCATAATTTAAGAAAAAAAACATTATTTTTAGCCGGTGACGAGCGCTCGGCTACACCGCTACAAATGACATCACAGTATTCAGACACCAGCTAGCGACGACTGGATTTCTCTATACTATCGTAGTACTTTAAGGGGTGAACCACAAAATATCAACACCAGACAAACAGAGTCCTCTTTTTAGGAACGTTTAAACTGAAAGCGGTGCTTTTGTGTTGTGTTTGATCTACAGTATCATTAATTCTCCGTGTTTTGGAGTAACAGCGCGCTGCTTCAAGTTAGCCAGCTGCTAAAAACAGCTAGCCTGGAAAACTAGCGCTCTCTCGCTCTCCAACGCCTCACAGCTTCCTCATTTTACTTTCTTTAAATCAGGGCTGTAACTGACATGAACCCACTTCTTTCTTTCACTTTCGTTGCTTGGGAATGCACTAATATTTAAATATGACTGTCCGAGCGCTGTAACAGCGCTTTAGTTGTGAGGATTGTGATTGTGATTTAACGCTGCTAAAGCTGGTTAGGATGTACAGAAAGAGGTGAGTTCGCTGTAGGACAGTTACGCCACTGACCTCGTCACTCACACTCGGTCACAGGAGAACAGATCGCCGGTCGCTCCACTCAAACAGGGACTGTATAACTCCACGTTTCAGACGTTGCTAAAGACTCCTCTTACTCGTGGCCCCCTCCCTCTCTAATCATGTAGAAAAACTCGGAAGTGCGCCCTCTCCTGGCGACAGCAGAGTAGTGTCGCTTTCCTTGCAGTAGAAAACGCCTCCAAGGCTTTCGCTGAACGTGGAAGTGTGAGAATGGTGTATTATATCGAACATTTATCGAACATTTATCGAACATGTCGTATCGCTCTATCGAGGAAAAGTTATTTCGCGATAATTATCGTTATCGTTTTATCGCCCAGCCCTACGTGGTTCTATATAGAACCTTTTTGAAACTGGTTCTATATAGCACCTATTGTTACAATGTCAAGCTTGCAAGAGTAGAAGACCCCTTTTTGGTGCTATATGGTATAATTTTCAAAGAGGTTCTATGTAGAATCATATACAACACATTCTCCATCCATCTGAAGAACCATTTCACCATGCAAAGGACTATGTAAGCATGAAATGCTTCTAAATAGAACCACTGCCTTCCTAAAGAATCCTTGAAGAACCATCTTTTTAAGTGTGTAGCATAATGCTAATTTGTTCAGCTTAGTTTATTATTTCTTATGGCCGTTCTGTTATCTGAAGCCTGCAAGATGCACAAGCATAATTTACACGACAGAAACTTCTGTATGTTGTGTAGAACGAGCCCCTCTCTTTTTAGCCCAGCTGCAGAACAATACCCCCCAACACACACACGGCTCACAAGCTCTCTTTATACTCACACACTAAGCGTGTGTGTGTTTGAGTAACGCTTGTTTGGGCTGGTACTGCCACTACACACTGCCACACACACACCACACACACACACCACACACACATAAAATCCACACTAGCAAGAAAGCGATGTAAAACGCTTTAGAAAAGGAAACAGAAAGGAACTTCCCCCCACCAAACCCCCACCCACCCCATCACATGTAAAAGGAAACGCCACCAATGTTTAAAACTGTTTCTATAATTAAGTGGTTAAGATGTGAACAAAGTTATTCAGAGTGGTTTGGTGTGAAATACTCCATTCTAGAGAAACTTGACGAGTCAGAATCGTTCACAGTGGTGGTGATAGGAACCAGACGTCCACCTCTGAAAGCTTCCTCCTAGAAAGTTATTACTGCAACGGTTTTGTGTTCTTAGGCTGATGTCTGAGACATTGTTTTATAATAGTTTTGAGATCAGGTTTTGGCTTAAAATGAACTGTTTAATGCATTCATTGTGGAGGGGTTCATGTAAGGTGTTCCAAGGGAATATAGTCCCCAACA